TATGACATATATATATATATATGTCATAAAAACTCATGAATAAATTCACACAAAATATAAATGTGCATGTATATGCGTATACGCACATGCATAAGTGCTTTAATATTTTTTTTAATGAATATTCATTTAAGAGATGTTAATCCCGACAAATGGATTTGAGATTCGCAGGATGATTGCTTTTGTCTCACTCCTACTGAATTCAATTTAAATATACAAAATGAAAATATCAACCTCAGTGTTATACATTTTAAAGGTATTACAAAGTTTTGGTATGGGATCTTGAATTTGGTTCAAATGAACGTATTAGAAGCATATGCGATTTTACAATATATTCCATGATCGTTGTCGCGGTTGAAATCGAGTCGAAAGCGATGAAATTATAAATGATAAACTCTTTATGTTGTATAGCGCCCTCTCAAGACTGATATTTCTTTAGCTTCTAAACAATGTTTGTTGACTATAATCGACCGATTTGCTATTCCCGTTTGGAAATTATATATCAAAACTGCATATTCTGAGATTTCATGGTCGCAGCTATCATGGAAAGACCTTAGACGCTATTTGAAATATTTGAATTTTCTCGGGAGCACCGGTAAATTTTTGATTATTTAATTTCTCGAAAGCAGAAGTGTTTTAGGGGCTCTTTTTTATGCTTATATTACATCCACAGGGGCATCCAAATATATCAACATTTTAAATAATTACTATCAATCCAATTTGCAAAATTTCCCAAAACTTTGCATTACCTTTAATGCCGGTAGTTTCTCTAGAAACTGTGAAAATATTAACAAATTTTAGGATAAACTTTCAATAAATTATCTGGTATTGCTATATCAAAAAAATTGGATTTGTGGTACCCCTTTTATTCCTTGTCATTTAGATGGTTATACTTTTATACATTCAGATAGAGTAACAGATAGAGGAGGTAGTGTTGCATTATTTGTATTAAAACAAAACAAAAAGATATTATTTGTACTGTTCGCAATGTTTCATTTGATTCTTATGATGATTCTACTATAAAATATTTATTTGGACTGACCTTTAAATATACAATGTGTGTCATTTATATTTAATCTAACTCTGTTATTGAGAATTTTTAGCATTTTCATGATGATGCACTTGGTACTTTATTGCATGTAAATGTTGTTATAGCCGGTGATTTTAATATAGATCTTCTTGAATTCAATGATGCTCAAGTGATTAATTCTGACGCTAGTAAATTTGTAAACATAGATGCCTCAGTTGAGCCTCATAATTTAATATCAATCCCAATTTGTTTCACAAGTAATAGTGTCACATTAACTGATAATATATTTACTAATATGACAAATTGCAAATGCACGAGTAAAATAATGTGTACTTACATAAGTATTAAATTTTGAATTTATCTTGGCCTATGGAGACACGAACGAACTAATCACTCCCCTAAATTTTCCTTATTTGAGTTAATTAAATACTCGAACGATAATAACGCGTCCCAATCTCATGTTAGTAAAATCACCAGGGAATCTGTCAATGCATTAAGAGGGGAGTTAAGTAATATAGATTGGTCATGTTTGTACATGTATCACAATGCAGAACAAATGTATAATGTATTCATTCTCTTGTTCAGTAGATAATATTAATAAATTAATATTGACCTCTTGTGCCTAATAAATCTAAAAGAACTTATATACGTAATCCAAGGGTGACTGAATGTTTATTAATTAGTATTAAGAAGAAAAATATATTGTATCACAAATATATTCGTAATAGAAAATGAACATGAATTTAAAGCAAACCGAAATAAAGTAAATAGTTTATTAAAGAAAGCAAAGAAACGTTATTATTGTGCTCAATTTGGGGAAATGAAAAAAGGAAATTTTAATCCTTAAACTAATGAACTATTGAGAATGAAGTCTCAATCTGACTATCAATATGTCTCCCTTTCACTCCTTATCACCTCCCTCTCTTCCTAGTGTTTTTTCTAAGTGTGTTTTGCCATTCACGGAGGGGGCGTCCCCATTTGCCTCTGTATCTATGCCACTGGAAAAATGAGGGAAATGAAATGGTTGGAGCATCGTATTTTTCACGTTCACTTCCCCGCCTCTTTTCTCTTTCTTTAGTTCTTAGCCCCCTCCCTTCACCCAGTTGCTACGTAAAGTATCCTCCTTAATCACCGCCCTCCAAACTACCCACATGTCTTTAAGAGAAGACAAAATTAATGGAATAACAAGGACATTGAACATGTATGTATACAGACAAGATAGTTCAAAACCCCTGTCTTAATGGAGAGTCGAGACAAATTGTAGACAGAAACATTCATCAGTCTATTGGCAGCGCAACTACAATTTCAAGGGTAATGTGTGCCTTTCGTCGGTTCGGGCCATTGCATTTGTAAAGGATGCAGGATTTTACAAGTAGTTAGACAGGATTTCCTTCAGGAATAGGGAAGTTTTGTAATTTATTTCCCAAATATTCTGCGATGACACCAGCATATTTTTTTTGCAAGCAAGCCGATATGAAAACCATGGGCTAATGTGGGCTATTTTCAACGAGAAATGGGATTTGCAAAGGATACAAGATTTGTTTTTCTTTCAGTAGCAGAAGGTGATCTCTCTCTCTCTCCCTCTCCCTCTCTCTCTCCCTCCCCTTTCTCTCCCCTTCACATCACCAACACGGAAACGGGTAGTTTTATGGCTTTATTACCTCGAATAATATATTATTTTTTATTCGCTAGTTTGAAGTGTATTCTTAGTTGGGTTTCTAAAGTTTTGGTTTTTTACAACAGTAAAACAAAATCTCTTGTTAATAAACTTTTTGCAAAAGTTTTATATAAAATTACAATTAAAAGTTTCTTCCAAGATTTATACCGATATTAAACATGTTAAACGTTTAACAAATATCTAACTATCATGGAATGTAAAGTTTTATTTTGTATACGTTAAAGCCCAATCCACGCATCAGCTATAACTCCAACCCATACCACGTGGTATATGATTAATCAATAGGTTTTATGACAACTATTTAATTGTACCTTTTAAAAAAAATAAATTTGGAGGCATTATACTGTAAGCGGAGGTTACAGACGCCTTGTCTCAATGGATAGAAGAGACAGTTGCAAAAATTGATTATTTCATGTATTTGTATAATTATTCTGTTCACCGGTATAAATGATGGCATTTGGATTTACAAAAAGTTGATATGTAGCGAAAGTGTCATTGGTTTTAACGACAGGTTTACAAATTACGGGAAAATTGATGACGGAAAATTTAGACTTGAAAGACACCTGACATTTACTAAGTCCTAACTTCATTACTTATTCTCTGTTTAGTATGTTTTTGTACCTTCATTGTTTCATATGTTAGTCATTTAGGTGCAATTCATGTTGTATTTTTGTCCATATATTTTATTGCTGTAATGCATATATTTACTCATTTTTTTCTCAATCAAATTGAATGTAAATGAACTTGAATTTTAACTTGAAATGTTAAGGAACGGAACAACTACCACATATCAATCTTTAGGGTTATTATTCTGTTTTAAAATTGTATTATTATTTATTTAGTTATTTATTTATTTCATTTTATTAAATCATTATTATCATTATCATTATTATTATTATTATTATTTTATTTCTTTATTTATTTTATTTCTTTATTTATTTTTACTTTTTTTTTTTTTTTTTTTTTTTTTTTTTGGGAGGGGGGGGGGGGAAGAATTTAACATAATTGAACTATCCTATTTGGATCTATGTCTAATTTCAAGGTATAAAGATCATACTTACATGAGCTTCCCTGCCACAAAACAGTTCATTATATCGCCCTTTTAGATTTAATAAATATTATTGCAAAGTCATTTGAAGACGCAAAAGTTGTAATTGGGATATTCTTAGAGCTTACCAAAGCGTTTGATTGTATAAGCCATCAAATATTAATAAACAAATTACAATTCTATGGGATTCGGGCTACTATATCGAAATTGTTTTTCTAGTTATTTAAGAACTCCATTAGCTCAAATAATGCATGGAAATCCAGAGGATTTGTTTATGTTGGGGACCGGGATAAAATACAATAAATTTTTGAAAATTTATTGCATTTTCTGTTGTTTTTTTTATTTATGAAAACTGCCCCCTACCCTAGCCCCCGCTGCGTACAGTCATGGTTCAGTGACAAAGCAATGGCCTCATAACTGTGAGGCCCCAGAATCAAAACCGTGTCGATGTGCTATAATAGTGCCCTTTTGTGGGGCATTAATCCTCATTACTCTCATTTATGACTTAAAGGCGTAGGTCCCCTATTTGATAAGCATAGAAGCATACACATGCTTTAGCAGTTACGCAAAACACACATTTGCAAATTATTATTCAGTAAAATCTGAGAATGTATACTTTAATCTAGATCTATTATTTTTAAATTATTTTTTAAATAATTCCATAAATTGGGGTAAAACTAAAATATTTCACCTATACGAGCGACAGTGTAAGTTAAAATTGAATACACAAAAAACGTGTCGTATGTTATTACAACCAAAAAACAAAAACTTTGATGCATCTGGTATAAAATTATATGTATTATCAGTGTCACAAAGTGACTTGTATTTAGCCCAGGAAATAGTTATTTCTAAGAAGAATGTAGGGAACAATAGGCTCTTATGCTAGAGTGCACGTTTCGGGGGAGAGCTATGAGTGTGATGTGTGCTTTTCAGTGGTATCTAAGGCAATGACCTATACATGTACTATGTGAAGTGTATGTTGCATGAGTTAGATGCAGGGGAGAACGAATTCAGCACTGGGTCAAGGCAAGACCTTTATGCTGAATGCATGTGACAGGAGCTAAGCTAGGATGCGCACCATTGATCTTATTTTGGTACCATCTTGGAAATCAGAGGGCAAGCAGGCCAGGGTAAGAATCCTCTTCAGCTCCCAAAGGTTTTTGAAACCTGTAAGTGACATTTGTTGTAGCCTTTTTCATATCTTTGTTTTGTTGTGCATGGTAATTTCACAATATAGGGCGTGGCATAAGAAGGGAAAGGCTACACAAGTAATGGGGGTCAAGTGTATTAAGAGAAAGCAAATAAATTTAGTATTTTGTCAGCAAAGCATTGGAATCCATCATTTTTTAGCATTAATAGGTGGGTCAATATCGCTATTCATAAGGACCGCTATTCATAAGGTTGGCTATTCATAAGGTCCATTGTTCATAAGGACCGCTATTCATAAGGTCCGCTTTTCATAATTGGAGAAAAGGGTCATTATTCATAAGGGTCGTTGTTCATAAGGACCGCTATTCATAATCAAAGAAGAGGGTCGGTATTCATAATATTAGAAGAGGGTCGCTATTCATAATACAAAATCGGGGTCGTTATTCATAAGGGTCCCTATTCATAATATTACAAAAGGGTCGTTATTCATAACACAGAAAGAGGGTCGCTATTCATAATGCAAAATGAGGGTCGCTATTCATAATACGAAATGAGGTTCGCTATTCATAATGCAAAATGAGGGTCGCTATTCATAATACGAAATGAGGGTCGCTATTCATAATGCAAAATGAGGGTCGCTATTCATAAGGGTCATTATTCATAATCGATGAAGAGGGTCGCTATTCATAATAGGAGAAGAGGGTCGCTATTCATAATAGGATTAAAGGGTCACTATTCATAATAGAAAAAAAGGGTCGCTATTCATAATAGGAGAAGAGGGTCGCTATTCATAATAGTAGAAGAGGGTCGCTATTCATAATAGGAGAAGACGGTCACTATTCATAATACGAAATGAGGTTCGTTATTCATAATAGGAGAAGAGGGTCGCTATTCATAATAGGAGAAGAGCTATTCATAATAGGAGTAGAGGGTTGCTATTCATAATAGGGTCACTATTCATAATATGAAATGAGGTTCGCTATTCATAATAGGAGAAGAGGGTCGCTATTTATAATAGGGTCACTATTCATAATAGGAGTAGAGGGTCGCTATTCATAATACGAGATGAGGTTTTTTATTCATAAAATGAAATAGGCCTAAGCAATATCCAAAATGCTCATAACAAATGGAAATATTGGACGGAGGACACCCCCAAGGCGATACATGACCCTAAATATTTGTCTTGTTTTTAAGTAGGTTTGAAATTTGTTATCCAATGTTGTAAACATAATTGAGAATTTAAATCAATAACATTTGAATCATGAAACATCCTCACGCTCACCTCCCCTCCCCCTCCCCCCTCCCCCCCCCCCCCCCCCCCACACCCGCCGCCTTCGCCTTTATGATGACGACTCGGACATTCAGGTAGCGGACCTTAATATTTATTTTCGGGGGGGGGGGCTGAGGTGGTTTCCTTATAATATATATGGTCTTGTCACCAAAGTAAATTTTCTTAAGTTTGACTATCAGTTGAGGGGAGGGGGGGGGGGGTTCGCACAAGGGGGACAAATTACGATAGGATTATGTGTGTGTTATGTTTCCCTTTTTTGTCACCACTGGAGCGGGGGAAATATTTTAGCTAGATTAGGGGGATGTATTTTTATATAATTATCAAAGCTTAAAAGAAAATATAGGCCTACTTTAAAAAAAAGACATAATGTAGGGGACGCCACCGTTTGCATAATGCTTTACGGTCGCAAAATCGTATCTTATTTGACTTTAAATCTTGAAAATCTTACTTCCTTACTTATGAGGAGAAAAACAAAATCGTGCAATATTATATATTTACGGAAAGCTTGAATATTGTATATAATCTAATTTTCTACAACCAGGGGCGTCGCTAAAGGGGGTGTGGGGTGCGACAACCCCACCTGTCAAGATATGTCGGTAAAATTGCGCTGCTGTCGGGAAAAATGAGAAAAGGGGGAGGGGAAAAAGGAGAGGGAAAGGGAAAGAAAAGGAAAAGAAAGGAAAGAAAGGAAAGAGAAGAGAAGAAAGAAAGAGAAAAAAGACAAAGACGAAGGACAGGAAAGAAAGGAAAAGAAGAAATGTTCAGAAATGTTTTCAATATGTTTTCAATAAATGTTTTCTACAAATATTCGGGGGCATATGGCCCCCTCCCGCCTATGCTATTATCCATTATTTCGCCTACTAATGTTTATTGCTTATTTAATTTACATTTTTTTATGAATAGCAACCCTTATACCGTATTATGAATAGCGACCCTCATTTCGTATTATGAATAGCGAACCCCTAGTCGTATTATGTATAGCGACTCTCATTCCTTATTATGAACAGCGAACCTCTAGTCCTATGATGAATAGCGACCCTCTTTTCGTACTATGAATAGCGAACCTCTAGTCGTATTATGTATAGCGACTCTCCTTCCTTATTATGAACAGCGAACCTCTAGTCCTATGATGAATAGCGACCATCATTTCCTAATTCCTATTATGAATAACGACCCTCATTCCGTATTATGAATAGCAATCTTCTACTCCTATTATGAATAGCTCTTCTCCTATTATGAATAGCGACCCTCTTCGCCTATTATGAATAGCGACCCTCTTCTCCTATTATGAATAGCGAACCTCATTTCGTATTATGAATAGCGACCCTCTTCTCCTATTATGAATAGCGACCCTCTTCTCCTATTATGAATAGCGAACCTCATTTCGTATTATGAATAGCGACCCTCTTCTCCTATTATGAATAGCGACCCTCTTCTCCTATTATGAATAGCGAACCTCATTTCGTATTATGAATAGCGATCCTCTTCTCCTATTATGAATAGCGACCCTCTTCTCCTATTATGAATAGCGACCCTCATTTCTATTATGAATAGCGACCCTCTTCTCCTATTATGAATAGCGAACCTCATTTCGTATTATGAATAGCGACCCTCTTCTCCTATTATGAATAGCGACCCTCATTTCGTATTATGAATAACGACCCTCTTCGCGTGTTATGAATAGCGACCCTTATAAGTAATGAACCTTATTTCGTATTATGAATAGCGACCCTCTCGTCGTATTATGAATAGCGACCCTGATTTCATATTATGAATAGCGGTCCTTATGATTAATGACCCTCAATATGAATTATGAATAGCGACCCTCATCTCACGTTATGAATAGAGGTCCTTATGATTAACGAACCTTATTTCTTTATGAATAGTGACCCTCTTTTGCCATTATGAATAGCGGACCAGGAAGTACGGGAATTTCCACGTTATGAATAACGGTCCTTATGAATAGCGGACCTTATGAATAGCGGTCCTTATGAATAGCGAATAGACCCCTAATAGGTATAGGCTAAAAGAGGCAGTTTCATTGCGTTTTTCTTTTGTAAAATAGAAAGGAAGATATAAAATGTACCAAATTAGTGTGCATTTATTCAGCAGAAATTAGTTGCAGTGGTAGGTAAGAAGATGATAATAAGAATATATTTTCTGATACACGAAAGCAGCCATGTTTGAATAATTTATGAATATATATCTTAAATAGTGGATATACATGTATGCTATCATGACCATTGGGTTGCATGTATTATTTCAACAGCAGTCACAGACGAGCAGGGCATCTACTTCAATTAGACGATTTTTGACTTCCGAGTGATGTCTGACTTAATTCAGAGTACACCGCTCTCTACGATGGATCTATCTGCTGATTTCAACCTCGGAGTACGGCTACTCTTTGAGACGATTAGACGGGTCATACCTCTGAGCACGGTTATCTCTTCGTCCAGTACATCTTCGCATGATGACGATCATGTCGGATACCCGTGGACATTCTGTCGTGAGTCTACGTGCGATTGCTTAGTCGAGACATCAGCACATAGAAACTACATGAGACTTCCGAAGGACTGTATACATTCGTGGATGTTGAGTATCGTTTATATCTAGAACAGTTTATTCGCAGATATCACAAATGCGAAAGAATGTAAATTTGTACCTTTTTCCGTGAATGATTAAGGGGCATAATGATTATTGGTGAGATCACGCCTTGATACTCGCAGTACTGCACCAAAAAGGATTAATACTTTTCCATAGAAATTATTGTAAGATTATGTGGATATTTTGCATTTAGATAATAGACACATGATACATTTTCGTTGTTTGAACTATCGTTGGGACATACATGTAAGATGACACGTCTTGGAAAACGCTTGTTGATTAATGAAGTAGGTTTTTTTGGTAATTTCATAAATAAATTGTGGTTGTACGATTTAACCTATTTAGATAACGAATGGAATTTGTGTATTTCTTTGTGTGTAAATTCATAACTACCCCCTATACAAACAAAACTAGTTCCTATCACCAGACATAGCAAAATACAATGCTTAGATCTGACAATCGGCATAATATATGTTTTGTAAATTCCACAAACTTTCTGAGAGTAAGAATTGACGGAAAACTAACATTAAAGGTAATACAAAGTTTTGGGAAATTTTGAAAATTGGATGGATAGTGAATCTTTACAATTTTGATATATTTGGATGCCCCTGTGGATGTATTATAAGCACTAAAAAAATAGCCCCTAAAACACTTCTGATTTCGAGAAAAATTGAATATAAAAATTTCAAATGGCACCTATGGCCGTACAATGGTAGCTGCGACCATGAAAATCTCAGAATATGTAGTTGTGATATATAATTTCCAAACGGGAATAGCTAATCGGTCGATTTTAGTCAAGAAATATGGTTTCATAGCTAAATTGATATATTGACCTTGAGAGGGAGCTATACAACATAAAGAGTTTATTATTTATAATTTCATAACTTTAGACTCGATTTCAACCGCGACAACGATCAATGAATATCGTAGGAACGCATATGCTTCCCATATGTTAATTTGAACCAAATTCATGACCCCATACCAAAACTTTGTAATACCTTTAACTTAACTTACCTCAACTTGCCTTTTTCTGTGCTGTATTGTAGTGTATTTATTTGATGTTTATGTATTTTTCAATCATCTATTTTTGGAGTTATTTTGTAATTTGTCTTTAGTTTTCATATTATAATTAAGCACGATAAATAAACATTTATGCCATGTTGTTTAGTCTGGGAATTACCTTATAAGTCCGTTGGTATGTTGTTATTCTCAACATATTATGAGTAGGACATGTTTCTTTTGAATCTTTAAAAAAAAAAATATATATATATATATATATATATATATAAAATCATATATATATATATTTATAATTATTACACATATTGATTGTATTCCGATGTTTTTAACGAAATGTGGAAACAAACTTGAAATGAAAAGATGGTGTTAAGTCCAACAAAAAGATGAAAACAGTACAACGAATTACGTTGAAGAGCTACGCCAGTTGATGTTTTCAAATTTCCTGAAGGGTAATGATGGGAAGACAGAGTTAATGATTCCTTGGTCTAAACATCAAAATGAATGGTAAACATTACCGAGATCAAAGTGGGTAGAATTGTCTTTGGAAAGCCACATCTTGGCAGTATCCCGGTCAGCTTTTCTGACGGTCTCTCGAAAACATCGGCTCAATCCGCAAATACGTCAATAACTGTGGTGTCGAACTTTTAGTGCATGCATAAATCACATCCAGGCTTTACATTAGAAATTCTATGTATAATTATCTTAATATATCGCAAATACACCGACTTCAGCACCTTCATAACTACATGTATATAGCCACTGAGCAGTCACCATGTCCAGAAAGCGCGTAATAGCATCAGCTATATCTTCTGAGAGAGCTGCATTAGCTACGCATTGAATATAAAACCATCTCCTCGCGTTCAAGTCAGAAAATGGCAGTTCTCCATCGCGTACAGGTATATAATCTGGTAGAGCCGTTATGTAAGACAAATCTCCGAAGAAAACGTCTAGCTTCTTGTAGAATATACAACTCCTGGGGAGAGCGTTCATTGCTAGTGGCTGACGCAAGATGATATGGAAAGGCCTCCCACCTTGTATCCACATTCCTACGGAATCGTTCAAAAGATCTCTCAGATAGACACACCTCTTTAATTTGGAGAACTCAACTAACCATCTTGATGTAGACTGACTATTGATCACAACTGGTTATTATTTGGGAACTATTTGATACTGATTGCATAGTAAATACCTCGAGTAGTGCAACTATGGAGTTATGTATTAAATTATGAGATATGTATTAGATTTTTGAGCGAGCACTTGAGCGCTCTTGGTTTTAGGGTAAGGATTATTAGTAGATTATAGTGTTTTTTTGGAGGAAGAGCCGGAAATTCTCAAAGAGGAGATCACTAGTGCCATCAAAAAGATGTCAGGTGGAAAGGCCCCAGACTATGATAGTATAACAGCAGAGGAGTTAAAAGCATCCGGAGAGAGTGGCACTGACATCATTCACAAACTCTGCAACCTAATATGGAGTAAAGAATCTTTCCCAACTGACTGGGGCAGAGCCATTATAACACCCATATTTAAGAAGAAGGATAAGCTTGATTGCGGAAACTACCGGGCAATCAGCTTGCTTAGCCATGCAGGAAAGATATTTGCGGCAATCCTTCAACGAAGAATCTTGAAGAAGACAGAGGAAATTTTTTATCAGAGTCCCAGGCAGGTTTCAGACCAGGGAGATCAACCATAGACCAACTGTTTACTCTAAGACAAATCGCAGAAAAGCACCTTGAAAAGAACAAAAGGCATTCGATTCGATATGGCAGGAAGGAAAGTTATGAGATTCTTTGGCTGTACTCCAATAAGCTCATCTGTCTCCTAAAAGCACTATACAAAATCTCATCAAGTGCAGTCAGGGTAAATGGAGAACTTACAGACTGGTTTCCAACAACTGTGGGCGTACGCCAGGGCTGTGTATTATCACCACAGCTCTTCAAAATCATCCTAGAAATGGTTATGTTACATGCCACCTATGACACCCCTATTGGAACAAACATTCAAGGCCATCTGATCAACAACCTCCGCTTCGCTGACGACAAAGTTCTTCTTGCATGCAACGAGATAGATCTCCAGTCCATTGTTATGAAACCAATAAATCAAATCAAATCAAATTGTACATTGTGTACACCAGTGGAGCTCAAACTTTGGCCTCAAAATCAATATTGCCCAGACAGAGGTCCTGGTCATCAGCAAACGGCAGCAAGACATTAACATCAGCATAGGTGGAACCAAATTACTACAGGTGGAAAAGTTTATTTACCTGGGAGGCACCATCACTCAATCAGGAAAATGTACAGAGGACATAAAGAATAGGATTGGAAAAGCCCTGGGTGCTGTTCAAAGTCTTCACAGCATATTGAAAGCCAAAGATATTAGAGATGTCACAAAACTTGAACTATATAAGGTACTCATCCTATTCATCCTTATGTATTGATCAGAAACATGGACACTGAAAAAAAGAAAATGAGAACAGGCTCCTTACCTTCGAAATGATCTGCCTCCGAAAAATCTTGGGTGTAACCAGACTAGACAGAATAAGAAACACAACAATTCGAAAGACTCTAGGACTTGACGAAACCAGTCTGGACAAAATAGCAACAAAAAAACGGCTGCGATTCTTTGGCCACGTTAACAGGATGAGACCAACACGATACCCAAATATACTCCTAACTTCTAATATTCATGGTGATAGACCACGGAGTAGACCAGCCAAGAAATGGTTAGATTGTGTAAAGGCTGATTGTGCTACTAGATGTCTGGGATCCTTCACAGAAGCGACCAGAACATCGCAAGATAGGAAGATCTGGCTTCAGGTCATGAAGCAGAAGCCATCACACATCTCCCAGATGGTGCGGAATTCTTAGGTCAAGGTAGGTCATAGTGTTTGGTCCTGGGTCAGGATAATACTTCATTTAATTGTAGAAACTGACGCTGAGCAAAATATGACCGCAAGAAGCTGCAGAACCGTAAAATTGTTGTAATATATATTACGCTTCATATTTGTTGACATCTTACATCATCCCCTGTAGCATTTCGATTCTCTTTCAAGAGAATAAAACTCGGTTATCTTTGAGCATCTTTGTCATGCGATTCATCTGTATTCGGCTTTCCGATAATCCTTTTTTTTTCTTCTTTCTTTTTGCGACTTCCTGATAGAATTTTCATTCAAAATTAATGTCTAAGTCTTTTGTCAACATTTATGTATAGGGGCACATCTCCTGATGTATCACTGCCCTCCGAGCTCCGTGATTGGCCAGATGTAGATATTCAAAGGTTGCCCATGCTTTTTCCGTTACGATATCAACGTCGTCCTGACGATTGGCCAGATGTAGTTATTCGAATGTCCCCCATGCTCTGATTAGTTCTCTGCAAATGAAACCATTAAAGATGTTAATGAATTGAACGGCACATTCTCGAAATGTCCGGCTCTTTAACAAATCAAATTATCCTTCTCAGCATACAGCTGACCAATTTTTTCCCCATCTCTGTACATTACATGATCAATATAATATACATAACAAAGATTGAAGACTGTATCCGAATCAAAATTATATCTTTTTGTTGGTACACAGAGCGAGGGTAAAGTTAAAAAAAAACTTTATGTATGACGAGAAATTGAGTACGATTAGTTTGCAAGCTATGGTGCCTAATTATGATTCGCTCGATTAGAGGTGCGGAGTATGAAATTGTCCGAAGAATCATTGAAGAAAGAAAATAAATATACCGCGACGACATTTTACCTAATGGCAGGGTTATGCTTTATAGATTCCAGTTTTTAACAAATAACCAGAAATAGAAGTAGACGGAATGTCTTGATTGTATAGACAGACAAAGCACCATTGAAACAAGCAAGCTTAACGAAATGTAATGTTTAACCTCAATGAATTTTAGTGCTTTGGAATCAATCCTCTGCCAAGCTCAAACAATGTACTCGTGAAAAATGTGCGAAATTGGATTATCAAATAAAATGTGAAAATGCAAAAAACCTAAAATTACCTGCTATCAAATTGAAATAAAAGGTGAAAAAGGGATCGATGGTTGAAGCCTCCATGCAGTGTCCAGCCCAAAAAAAATCAAGAGTCAGTCGTTTCCAAGACTGACCGATTAGCTAAATCGACCAAGTTAATTTCACAAAATTAATTTTAGTACCTGTCAAGAAAATATAACATTGCTTATTTTTTAAAGCGATGGGTATTAAATCTAGTCTAAACAAACATATTGCGATGATTTGGAACTATACACTGCCTCGATATATGTCAGAAATTCAATCCCAACGTCTATATTTATCATATTTTTAATGCTAGCAAAATTAAAAAAATACGAATGCAGTGAGCGCGGAAAAAATGTGTGTGAATATATTACATCAAATAATTATAACTAGAGATTGTATACTTATACAAGTATAGGTGGCATGTACTCATTTGAAGATTATAATGAATTACTGTTCTGTTAAATGTCATGATGTCGTAACAAAATTAACTCTTTTTTGTCGTATAATGTAGTACATTAATATTTGATCCATAGAATAGTGAAGTACGCAACTCGCGCTAAGTGCAAAGCCAAGTTTTGACTTGTACATTGTTCTAACATTTGAACATGATCCCAATGTCTAAATGAAAAATAAAAGTCACAATATACTTGTAGCGCAAACACTCAGCTACAACAAATTAGAAATCAGAAGAAAATCGAGTAGAAACAAGCGAAACATTGTCAAAAGAACATTGAGAACAGATTGAGAATATGACGTTATTAATTAAAAATATGAAATCTTACTTTGAATTGCAATATGATGACGTGGCGTAACCTCTGTTAAGCAAAACTGATGGATGAAATAACATCTATACTTAAAGACTTTCAGAGTATGCAATTATTATATAGAATTGCCGAGAATAGAATCAGGAACGTCACGTGAGAAAATGTGTTTTCAGCTTCCATGAGGCCAACGCAAGCGAAATAATCAAAAAGTATTTTCAAAGTGGACTGAAACATATAAATATGTAAAATTAATTCGAGATGATTTCTAGCACTTTTTAATGGTTCGTGTGCGTCGAGCGCGTTGGATAATTATGTTGCAATAGGTTGAAGTGTCATAATATGAAATTTGAAATAGCATTGCCATTTGTTAAAAGAGATATTATAGACTTAGGCGAAATTTACAAGATGGCGCCTAGATGACATCACAGTATGCTAATGTCCTTATACATTTGTGTGTGTGCGGTCCTCAAAAGCGTCTACAATAATTATTGCCCCAATTCTGAAGGAAAATGCAATTGCCATTCTTGAAATATCTGTTCCACAAGAAATTTACAGAAAGAAAAGAAAAAGAAGAAGAAAATTCTGACGAATATAAGAGGTGTTATGTACATAATAATGCTGTAGCAAAATTCTCTTTCGGAACCGTTGCAAAGTGGTACATTTTGTGCCTGCAATGCTCAACGAGTTCTTCACAAACATAATCGAGGCGAGAGAATGGCAGTACCGAGATAGGACTTTTCCCTCAACAAAACATTTCCTGCAAATGATAGATTGCCCTCTGCGGCACGGCTCTCATGAATATTAATTTCCTCTTCATTGGTTCGAATAAATTCATCTATTCTAATGGTCGTATTTGACGTAGACATGATTATGTACAATTCATAATATAACAAGTATTCTGAATGTAGAAGTATACTACAGAACGCGAAGATTAATAAAAATAGACTGTGGTGATAATTGTAATCATAATAGCAATAAAGTTGCAAAAGTAAAAAGTTGCGCACCAATTCCACTTACTTTAAAACTTTATACTTCTATTCATCATTTTGAAAGCAAGAACAATTTCTTACCTAAGAGAGTGTTATCTGGTTAATCTCTTCCACGGTTAAGAACATATGTAATTAATTATTTAATTTATTTTTGATCTAACTTTATCATGTTTATAGATGTTTTGTTTGTTTAATGGGAGTTAAAAGAGGAAAATCTTACACCACGGCCAATGGAAATAATGATTCCGAAGGGAAATTTATGGTTAAAAATGTAATAAACTATAATAACTCATGTAAACAAAACAAACAGAAAGAGAGAGCGGGGTTTTAAAGGTACATTAACATGAAAGACACAAATGTACATGTAAAGAGTATTATTTCCATCCTAAAGTATTCCAGACTATGATAGAACAATTCGAAACGACAAAAACATCAACTTCTTAGACTTAGAGGTAACCCTGTGGTGAAGAAATACCATGCATATGTGTAGTGGTCTAGTTGATAAGTCAGTGGAGTAAAAATCCCTAGGTACGTGGTTGGAATCCCTGTCACAACATCTACGTCATTGTAACGACATTAATCTCAATTTGCCGCCACTCTTGGCCCAGCTAAAAAAATTGATACCATATGAGGAGGAAGATATTGCTTGACTGTTCGAGCGTTGGAACATCTTATCGCACATTAATCTAAGCTACATCCGTGTTATAATAATGTAACATTGAGTATTCATGCGCAGTAAAGTTGATTTCTATATAGTAGTCATTATGAAAATATTAGATATATTACCACAATCGAATATGCCAATTAAAAATATACGATGAATTGCTTACATTTAACAATAGAAGCGCTTAAAGACATCGTCGATGTATTAAGCGCTTTATATAAACGCGGAATATTGTAATTATTATGCCATATTATGTTGGGTATGCCGAAATATGATGAGCCGACAACTAAAACAATCGTTTTTAGCAGGGTGGGGTGATTGTTCTCATGTCCCCCTTCCCCATGTTGCCGAAGCTTTTGATATGATATAAAATGATATAAACCTTTGCACTGCTCCATTTTGGGGTACTTTAAACAGTTGGAGCATTCTGGTGTATCGGCAAAGGCCTTTAACTCGCATTCGGGAAGTCCTGGGTTCAATTGTTGCATTATGCATATATCCTGAGACAGAGTGCTTGACCCAGGTGTACTTAATGGGTACCTAGCGATGTTCCGGTTATGATAATTGCATGTCCCTCAGAAAAAGGAATATACGGTATACCATGAATGAATAAGACCATCATATTTGAAATGTTTAACATTTCTTTTAAGTTTTCAGCTTCCGTATTACAATCTTGAAATTTTCCGTTTAAATGCATTTTGTAGTCGATAAAGCCTTATATTCAACGCCGGAGCATGTGAAATATTTGTATATAAGGATGATAATTATCATTATTATCATTACTATTGTGATAAGAAATATATGGTGGTGTGACCATAGTCCGCGCGTGATCCTAGTTTCGCTATCTAAAAAAAATTTGGTAAGATTTCGAAAATCTGATACAACCAACAGAAAGAGAATTCTAAAATTACCCAGAGACGAAATTTTCTTTAAAATTGGAAGTGAAATAATGAAAATATTGACGAAAGATAAGCAAATTTCGCAGTATTTTACGTCCTTTCCGGAAAAAAGATGAACTTGCGACAAGGGTCTGGAAATTTTTATTTTGAGAGCAGATGACATCAAAATTTGTCATGCAAAATATGCAATTATATTATATTTGATTAGCTCGCTTTTTATGATGAAACAGCTGTAAACCCACGTGCGCGAATTAGATCTCGTTTGTGTAATGACTTTTTCTTGAGTTGAGGCGCATTCCGATCCGACATCGAACTTTGAGATCACGATACACCAATTTGTAGTAAAAAAAACTTTGCCGTCCATTTGGTAATAATTGAACTAAATTTTGTTATGTAGAATATGAAAAATCGTCGATTGAATATCACACTTCATAAATAATAATTTAAAAAAATCTCCCCGAACTTTGGTCACCCCATCATAGTATTAGTATAAGTAGGAGGCAAACGATGTGGAGAGATTTGGGGCAACAGCCCCTCCCCATTTCTCGTACAATGTGGAACTGATCAACTTATATTACTGCATGATTTGGATATCAGATATCACATCAAATTGCAACTTTTATGCACTATCAAACGCCTTCTGAAAACCATACTTTACAGCTCGCTCGCTACAATCGCTCGCTTCACCATGTTTACTCGACCGCTTGAATGTGATCCATACATGCAAGACGGGCCGGCTTCCTGGTAAAGAGCACCATATAATTATATGGCCATATGGTAGGTGATGACAAAATGCATGTTTCAGATATATTCTCGATTTAGACTGAGCTAGGTTTCACTAGGATCTGGCGAAATGACAAATTTTGGACGTAATAATCTTTATACCTGACTTCCATCTTCAAAAATATGCTTAAAGATTTATTTTGAGTATCCTTTTCGTCCTTCTTAGGTTCGATAACATAAAATAATGACACTGGTCTGAATACAAAAACGATGATCCTCCCCAATCTAAACAGACTTATTAATCTCCCATTTTCTCTTACTGAGATACTTACCCGTTCTTGTATTTGGCTCCACTAAATGCAGTCGAATAAACTAACTCCAAACGAAGGCTACACGTGATTCCGCTAGTTTGAGTCTCCGACGGCCATATATGGTATTGAAAATTTATTTTTCTTTTACCGTGCTGTTCCATAAGCTTAGTTAAATATTACAGAATAACATTTTGCCGATTTGATAAGATATGACAGATTTCCTACAGTAATGTGCTCCATTTTTCATGAATTTGTTTTCCAAACTGGTGCCTTGTAGCATCACAGGGGTAAATTTAATCCAAGATCAGGTTATTCATCCAATATTTTACGCATCCAATAGTTTTACCGTCAGAAACACTATAAGAGAAACATAGAAAGAGTAACGTTGTTGAATGAATCATATCTGATTGATACACGTCTGTAAAAATCCAATTACATACATTACATACACACGAAGGACAATCTACAAAAATGCAAAGTTTACAACATTATTATGATGTCGTACATTTACACCCGATGAGCATCCCCTGTAGCCTATAAAACATAACCTGACAAATGGTCAGGGGATCAGGCTTTTCTAAATCTAAGTTCTGAATATATTCTAGAAAATGCATTGAATTGCAGTTATGCATGGATATCATTGATCGCAAACTTCATTTACATAACATGCCATTACGCAATATGCAATACTTTTTCTTAACATCTTAACCCACACCAATAGGCATTAATATCTCAACGATAAACTTGGCTAAAAATAATGAACACTGCGAACCTACCTTTACAACCGTTCCTGATGTCCACACACAGCCTGACACGAGACAAAGTAATCAGTAAACCAAAAACTTCCCTGCTATAGCTAGCTCACGATTCGCGCGCTAGACGCATCGACAAAGGGGCGGGGCTGCTCTCGATGCAATATTTTGCCTTATGCTACGGTCACAAAGGTTCGTACGGACGATAATTTCGTACGAATCTCCCTGTTTTTCCATTGTCTTCCCGAATTTCCATTGTCTTCAAATCGTTCGTACGACGTTCGTAGCAGTTCGTAATGGCATTTGTGACCGAGGCTTTACTTGTCATTTTTTCAGGATACGCATGTAAAAGTCTTAACGTGGGTCTCACACTAAAATGGATTATAACTTTTATATTTTCTTACGTTTTGGACTATGAATAAGTAATGATCATAAATGAAATGTGTTTTCATACGGGAGGACATTGGAGACAGCTACGACAATGTAAGAATCTTGGTGCCGTTCAAAAACGAACAGATTATGACTTTGGGAGTGGACTGAATGGAACGCAAAGCTTGAAGACAGAAAAGAAAATAGTGCATCCACCCCTAACACAGAGAGGGAGAGAGAGAGAGAGAGAGAGGGGGGAGAGGGAGAGAGGGGGAGAGAGTCAGAGAGGAAGAGAGAGAGAAAGAGGAGAGAAAGAGAGAAAGAGAGGAGAGAAAGAGAGAAAGAGAGAGACAGACGGGAAGGGATAGAGAGAGAGAGAGAGAGAGAGAGAGAGACAGAGAAGGCCAGACAGATTGATGGAGGGGGGGGGGTTACACGTCAGAGCCGTTTTTTATTTACCGTGTTTACATCATTAACATTTATTTATTTATGTTGCAACAAAATGGTAGTAGACTGAGGGACTTGCACATGTTAAAGTCCCTTGTAGACTGGAAAAAATGTCAACCCCCGATATATTGGTCTTTCATTATATATGAGGCCTCCCAAATATTCAATTCAATTCAATTCAAATAAACATTTATTTCTTCCATTCAATTCGCGACTTTGCTATGGAGACGGTGAAACACGATTGGCTAATCTTTCGGTGCGTAGGTCCATGTCGCAATATCGGATTGATATGCCACCACGATTCCGAGGAATTTCGAAATGTCAACTCAAGCGCGCTTTCACTGCCCTATTGTATACCCCGTAGAATCATATTCGGATTACGTAATTTGTCATTGTATTTGTTCACATTCTTCGAACATTTCGATTGGTGATCGCAAGGGCTAATCACATTGCCTTATAGGTTGATTCTCCGAGAGCTTTTGTGATTGGGTAATGGATACATCTTTTGATGACGTCTCTAATTAATCGGATAATTATAGTTTGGATGAAAGTACAAGTTGGTAAGTCCATTCGCAAATTATTCGCCATATGTATTTGTTTACTATATTAACATTATTATTTTGATTATTCGGCGATTTTCCACCTCTGTTCTGAGAGAGGAAATTAGCGACGGTCCTTCGCCCAGTCACCCTTCTTGTTGGTCTCGATTCCTGTACCAAGGATTGACTGTACATGTGCACCACTAAACCAATTTTTATCCTACTTTTTACATTAAACGGTGCAAGTACAACTACAAGCTAAGGAACTATCATTTTTTTAAAGAGCACAACTTTGAAACGCACATACATTTCGGGGAAAAAAATACGTGTACATCTTGATCATCTCAGTGATTCTAGAGTCATTTATTATGACACTAACACCACGCATCTTATTTAAGCCCATGAGCTCACTTTCCGGGATTCCCCTTCTATCGGTGATATTCTACATCTTCAGACTCTGATACTACTACGCAGGAGATAAAAATCAAACAATCTTTGAGATTCATATTAATTTTATTTTTAAGGAATATAAATACAAATTAATCAAAGAAAAGATGAATTATACTGAACTTTAATTTAATATGCATTCATCAACTCATTCAAATGGCAGGAAAAATAACAAATTTCTGCTTATACGGTTATAGATATAGACTATGATACACGCATTTTCCAATGAATTCACCCACTGCTTAGGCCACTTAGTAAGGCCTAATTTGGGGGGGGGGAGAAGGTTGTGAGAAAGAGAGACAGAGAGAGACAGAGAAACAGAGACAGGCAGAGACAGAGAGAGACAGAGAGACAGACAGAGAGAGACAAAGTGAGAGAGAGAGAGAGAGAGAGGGGGGCGGTCTTTCGAACGAGAGACGGGTGTGTAACAAATCTGATGATGATTCATCAGCATCATGATAATGCAAAATCTATCGACATTCTACTAATGTCCGATTTTTGTTTTCCACTTCTCTACATTGCGTCCTGCAATGTAGACAGACGTCCAACTCTTTTTTGAACTTTTGAACGAGTTTTTGAACATTTGAACTGGGAAAGAGCTTACGGTGCTGCAAAAAAATAATGGTAAGAGCATAATAGGCGTTTCTTCAAAGCATCTTCACGCTCCATTCATTAGGGAGCCTCCGTTCTGGAGTGACCCCGAGATAAACGAGCATGACAGCGTGGATTAACGTTTAGACTACACAGCTCTAGTACGTGTATTTTTTGTTCATCCAAAGAATGGTATGAATCTGCATTCAGTTATACATTTATTCAGATAAAAGAAGAATACAACCTCTTCGTCAAGACTGTAATTAAAAACAAAAGCTAACAAAACATATTTGGTTGAGTTGAGAATAACAGATATATCGCTACAGTTAGATATTTACTCTATGATTGCTTAATGTTTTCACACGTTTGATTTCCCGCTTCATTATTTATTTATTTGCGGTAGGATTTTGCTTTACTCTTTGATATCCATTGAGAAACACAACTTTAAACACCAAACACACAACACTCTTTAGCAGACAAATTGTGAGTTCCGTTCCGTTCACATTTAATTCGTTTAAGAAGTTAATTATTCTGTTCTCGACTCAATTCTATCCAATAATCAGGGTTTGGAAAGATGATGGTAATTTTCTAAACGTTCAGCGATATACAAATATTCAACTGCACTTTATAACGAACTGAGAATAAGTAATGTGATAAACTTAATTTTATTTTTGTTTGATGTGTATTTGGAGAGGCACGCTTCTTTCAGTGGCATACCCATGTTTAATAGCGAGGAGAAAAATGACTATTGTGATTATTCATTTTGTTATTTATTATTTGTTTGTTCATTATTTCTGTGTTTATTATTATGTATTTATTTATTCATTTATTTGTTTATTTATTTACAAAGTTGCCCATAAATTAAGTTGAAATAGTGTTTCTTATCTCTGTTTATAAAATGATTGTGACGGTATGATATATTCTTGATAGATATTCTCATAACTATATAAACTAATAAAGTTTGCTCAATACATTTCTGTGCAGATGTTAAGTTCAATATATCATAATTGTCACAATAATTGCATTAAGTGAGGTAAGAGAAATTCGTTCCATGGGCAATTATAGTTTATCAATATATGTATACATTTAGTTATTGTTTGTTTATTAATTTGATACTTATATATTTATTTGTTTCTTAATTAATTCATTTTCTTATCTATCCATCTTTTTATCTGTTTATTCATCTATATGTAAATAATTTTAAAAAAATATATTTGTCCCAGCCATAGTGAACAAATGTACGAGCAATAATTCAATTGTACTCGAAGAACTATCTCATTATTATTTTTATTCCTTTTGTTTCAGCTATTTCAATTTGCATTTTTCAAAGCTTTTTTATAAACTAAAAAGTAAAACGCTAAAATTGTATATGTTATCAGGCCATCGAGGTCGAAATATTCCAGGGTCCAGTTATAACAATATCTTTAATAGTTTGTCTAGGCCTACAAAGCTCTCAATAAATTTACACAAGAGTGATTGTATTCAAACTCGAGGACGTATATATCTGAAAGCACATATTGACACCATTACACTGAGGGGAAGTACGGATATGTATTGCGCAATGGCAACTTGGGAAGTCCCTAAAGATAGTCTTTTCCGCAGTCGCTGTATTATTGAATCACAAAGAATTTCACATGATGTCAAACAAGCTGAAGGCTGTTGGTAGGATTTCTATCTTATCTTATTTGAAGAGACTTCATTTCGAGACTAGTAATGTATATCTCCTTATAACTAGGGCAGCCAACTATTTGTTTAAAGCAGCATTGCAATCCTCAAAAACATAATTTTATATCATTGTGATATTCAAAACTATAATATAGAAAAATTGCGCTTTTATTTACATTGTGGTAAACCTATTACCATTTTCACTCAATAGATTAGGGGCAAACGCACAGACCTTATAACATGTTTATGAAATATACATAGCATGATTTTGCGACCATTTGGATATAATATCATTTTTTATGTTTATGCAATATTTGGTAGTGCTAAGCGTTAGGCAAAGACAACTGATCATAGTAGCTTTACACTTTAAATTTAATGCAGCCAGGGGTGTAATGAATTGTAATAATAAACAGGCAACAATAACAAACACAAAGGTAATACAAATTATTTTTCATTTCTTTCTGGAGAAATACTCTTCAACTATAGTCTGTGAAATTAAAAACTTGAGGAGATTTTTTTGGAACATAGAAACCACCATTGGATATTTTACAAACTTCAAATTTTCCCATGATAGGAAGAAGTGCCCCTTCTTAAACCTACCCTGCATGGTGTTTATACAGTGACCTTTCCATATTTTGTTTTCTTTCAAAAGTGAGAATATTTTGGGTATCATTATATACACATTAGGGTATAAAATCTAAAATGTTTTCATCATACATATAAACATGACTTCCTAGATTTTATTTCTCACGGTTTGCCTGGTATGTCTCCCGCATGGACGCCCCCTTTAAATATAAAATATATAAAATTATATATTACGGCATTTGCTAACCAGATACCCTGGATAAATTGTAAACAGCAGGCTTTCAAAGCGGTCGCTATCGGCCACGTTTTTTAACACATGACAAAGGTATGTCAACGTGGGATTGGGAAAGATTGGGAAAGCACAGACGGGTATTTCGCAATACCACAGAGCAGGGGGATTCCTACATAAAAATGACACGTACTCAAACTTCTCAAGCATGCTGATTCGCGGATATCAGAATAGTTTGAAGTTTTAACAATGCTTGTGTGCGCTTCTTAAACACGAACTGTGCTCTACTTTGTCAGTATTTGTATACTACTAAGAAGTTCCATACATGTACCATGGAGCTGAACAGAGCTAACAGAGAAATATTGAATATATGGCAGGGCTTAAACAAAATATCCAGATATAGATTATGGTTATAAAGAAAGAAAGGTAAGATACTTTGGCCACATTGAAGGACACCAGAGCCAATTGAAAGCTTTATTGGAAGCAACCCATCTCCGAGCTGGGAGAAGCTTGGAGAAGATATCTTGATAGATAATGTACTATGTACAAATCAATTGTTAGGCAGGGGTACGGCTCATGAGGGCGGAAGGGGCAGGAATTTCAAAAGTAGAGTAAATTTATCAAGCGGGGGCCCCGAGGGGTGGGGTGCCTTTGAGAAGGGGCTATTCCCACGGCTTACTTTTGAAGGTTGTTTATTTCCCACATTAGTGTTTATCAATTTACATGGACGTCATCTCAATGGGCCTGGTAGATCAAACAATGAAATAACGAGGGGCCGAGGATGAAAGCTCAGATAGCCAAGAACATTGAGCAATATAATATATCGAGGCAAAAGCTTTTTTGTTATGGTATAAAATCATGGGAATTCAACATGATTCTTGCGAATTAGTTCTATACGTGTATCGAATTGTACTATACATTTTTGTTGTTTTAGAAAGTAGTTTATTATCATTCAATGAACCAAATTTAACATAATTGAGAAAAAATAGACATTCTATTATATATAAATCATTGATTTTGATGACATAATTACAAACAATACATTGAAATAGCAACAACAACAATTATATTACAAGTCATAGATGAAAATAAAAATGCTCTCCCTGACCCTCGCCGCCCCCCCCCCCCCCCCCCCCCCTCCCCCCCCCCCCCGTGCACCCTGCCCAAGAAACTCTCACCAGCCTCTGATAACTTATTTCTTTCACCAATTCTTTGTATATATTTGTTTATCCCATTATTTGTAAAAGTCAATTCATTAATAAAGACTTTTGTCTTTAGCTAAATTTGTACTTTCTATATTCCGCTTCCAACTTGGAGGAAGTGCTTCGTATATTTTTCAGTTTTCAGTAATACAGAATTTCTTAATAAAAGTTTGGATAATGAAGATCTGATCTTCATTATCCAAACCTTTATTAAGAAATTAGGTCCTTGACTTTAATTCCCCATTACGAGCAATTACAATTTCATGTTCTAATCGAAAATGTTTTGCACTTGCAACTTTTCATCTTAAATACATTTTCCATCAATTCGAATAAGGATTTATTCAACAACAAAAAATTCTTATATAGTTATATAGTTTCCTCTAAACTCCCTCGCGTTTGCCCATGTCTCTAACAACTCTACATAGAATTTCGGTACAGATAATTTTAGGAGGGAAATTAGATAATTACAATAACAAATGAATTTACCTCCTATATGTTAGGTAGCGTCTTCAAAATACTGCTGTTCATCGATCATATTCATAAGTTTTGAGAGAAAACATAACTTTTTTTTTGGGGGGGGGGGGGGGGGTGGTACATTACTCAGCTGTTCCGCCAAAATCGTTTTGCAGATGTCGGTGGTTTAATAGTGTTAATAAAAGTTGAGAATTGGTATCTACTGATTATGTGAGAAAGTGTTTTCAGTTACGAACAGAACTGAAGATAAACCTTTCAATACTTGACCACCAAGGATTTTGAGAATATCGGCATCATGCATATGATTTTACTTCCCAAAATACCTTTTAGATGGATTTTCAATATCTATTCGAAGTAATGAAAGAGCGTAATGAAATTGGTGGTGGTGGAGGTTGTTTTACCTGACTGCTAAGAAAGCATAAATGCTTGTTAGTAAGCAACCAGACGGCCGACGGATTTAGGTCCTCTCCGAGGGACCTGGTAATGAGGATTATTTAGTTCGGCTTATGCCCCATGCGACAAGAAAAGAAGAAGATAAAGGCACAATTATTTTTTCATGATAAGTCGAAAGTGAATTTCACTTTGTATTTTATTCGTTTATTCATTAACAGAAAATGAAATTTAGAAGAAAAAATATATATACACATATAAATCAAATATGATTGTTTGCCACCAATTCTCTTGCAATTCATAACAATTTTGAATTTATATATCAAAATAAAACTTACAAAAAAAAATATTTTAAAAAGGAGACTATTATGCATCAGAGGGCAGATTTAAAACTAAAATACATTACAAGTCTTCTTCAATGATGACCGTTTCATTAAATGAAATGATGAGGAAATGAAATATCATAATAGAGATAATTGTATATAATCTGATTGAAGAAATATATAATCAATCATATTTGTGACCTTAATGATTAAAGGACCAGATTTGAATTTCAAAGTAAATAAATATATGAAATAAAAATTAACAAAATAGTAATTTCTGTATGTATGAATGTTACAAAATTGTATTACAAAAGTAATTTCTTTTTACGCAAAAACGTTGGAATAACTGAATTCATGTAAGAAGAACACACTCACAAATACTTTCAAGAATGAACTATAAAGCAATTTCAATAAATTTTTGAATTTATTTAGAAAATATTTCACTATTTAGCAAGCAGTTATTATATGAATTGTACAAATAATAGATAATGCACTAACCTATTGATTATGCCCAAGAATTCATTTCATAAATTCTTTGCGATCATGTCCAAGGTAGACTAGTTATTTTCAACATTTTTTTGTTCAAATGACAACTGAAATCAAAGTAAATTTTATCACAAATTAAGTGATGATAATGAGCATGAAATAGTATGGTCCCTGCCAATTGGAAATAAAATCAAGCATTTCAATTGTACTCATAGAAAATACTGAGAAACAAAATGAACATATTGCAATTTTCAGCATGGTTATACCCAATCAAACAACAAATATATGTAGAATAAGAAGGCAAAAAATCATACAAAATAGTGCAGCATGAATTAATTTAAAGCCAGCCATAAATAACTTAATGCCAGCCCTAAATAACTTAATGCCAGCAAAATAACAAACATGTTTACAAATCTGTTCAACAAATCAGATGAGACATTTAATGAGACTATTATCAAATCAGAACTGGCTTATCCTCAACAAACCAAATCTAATGCATATGTCTTTGTCAAATGCCTCGATACCTATTATGATACCAATTATTTCATTCATCTGTTACAAATTATTGTATTCAATTGTGGAGTAAAATAAACAAATTGGATGGCGTAATTGTATAAAGAAAGAACACCCCCCCCCCCCCCACACAAACAAAATTAACCAATCTCTACATAATCAACAATGGACCATCCTATGTATTGTGTTGCAGAGATTTAGATTTGTTATTTTATCAATCGCTAAAACAAAACAAATAACTGCCATTCACAGTAAATTAAAGCAAGGTTTGGTATTTATTTTTCATAGAATAAAATAACCTAAACAACTCATTATTTTCTTCCTCTTCCTATATAGTCATCTTATAAAACCAATTAAAACAAAATATATAAATGAGTGGACCCCATAAATCTTCCTTGTGGCCCTGCGATTATCTTTAGCCCAGCATTGTCAAGTGCCAGGTACAAATTTTTAACACCTGGATCAAGGGACACAAACTTGGGCAAAACACCTTGTCCAAGGATGTAAGCACCGAGCAAGGATTGAACCCAGGACCTCTCGTACAAGTCGAGCCTTCAGCAATATACCACGGTGCTCCAAGACAGAAGATACACATTTGATGTGAACAGCTGTTCCTCAGAAGAAGTGTTGATTACTTGCGTCATACATAAAGTTCAACCTATCTTCACTGATATGACAACAGCCATCATATTGATATATTGTCTGCTCAAACAAGACCTCATCGATAATATTTATGATGACTATAGCAATAACTATACTGATAAATGGTTTAAAGTCACTCCCATTTTTATCTTTATGCAGTAAATGAAGATATCAATTATCACATTGCTACAGCCATTCCATTCAATACTTCCCTTTAATTTAAATTAAAAATGCTATTGTCGCAACAACAGTACCAATTAATTATAAATCAATAAAAGATAGAGAACACATATTTTGCATGTTTGTATAACTGTATAGATTAAAATGGATGTCACTGCTCAATACCTGATAATTCACAACCCTGTATATAAACCCTAGGATTAAAGTAAAATAATTAAAAAATATATACTTGTTTTAATACCTTTATTTGACATTTTATTTGACATACTTATCTTTGTTATCATTAAAAAAGAAACATAAAAACTCATATTCTTTAACCCAAGGATAAAAAATGGTCCCTCAATCTGACATTTACCTTTGACCTACATCTCCTTTACTTTGAAACATGTCCATAAAATTCAAATAAAAGTTGACAGTGTCAATCAAAACAAAATATATATCTTCTTCATAAATTAAAATAGTGTGGTCTATCCAGACAAATAAAAGTGAATGTGGACAAGCAATACACATTCTGGCAAGTCTGATATCAGTAAATAATACTATGACTGAAACTTTGTTTTTCTTTAAACTTATTTCTCGATACGCTTATCTCATGATTACAGGAATACCATTAATGGCTCAAGTTCATGTTACAAAATATAATCAATCATAAAGTTGGTTTTAGTATTCCAGAAGATGCACTAGAGTGACAAATTACTCATTCATGTATTTTATTGATTTTGCTAAAGTGTCCATTCACCAAATCAAAGAAAACTTTTCCTGACATGATTTTTAGAGTTGAAATAATTATGATAGAACTCGACAAGACTCTCTTAGAGTTTATCCATGAAGACATGTGACTAAAAGATAGAAAAACCAAAAGAACTTGACATTTTCTTTGATATATATATATAGGAAGTAAAATTTCATTTACTAAAGGCACAATTTACAGAGCATTGTTTGTTCTTATGCATGAAATAAGTCTAATAAGATAACGTGATGAGAACTAATATGTATCATATTGATTTAGTCAAAACAAGTAATACTATATATCTTTTACATTCTCTAGATGTTAGCTTTGTCAAGAAAGTATATTGCTGATAAGGAGAAGAAAACAAAGAATGTAAAGCGAAAATAAAAAGAGTACTGAACATAATAGAATGAAAATATTTTAGAAACTAAGGGTGTTCACGGGCAAAACAAAATATTGTCTCTCTTTTATTTAGCATGATTTCTTTGGATAACCCCTCATTAAATTGGAATCTGAATCCTCCATTTGATTTCAGAAACAATGAGATCTGCAATATAAAGATCACCTGTCTTAAAATAACAAGTATGGAACCTCTTTCGTATTAAAGAAAGAGAAATTAATACAAGAATTCATCGTCTGACTCTTTTAGCAACATCATCAATCACATTAAACTTATGTAAGCAGTGAATAAGTAAATTCATGATTTTGTCCATATCATGATGAGTCTGATTCACAGTGGCTTGCAAGAAGAAGAGTCGAACGGGGTACGAATTAGGTGCTTTCTCTTCCAGTGTGACTCAAACAATCTGAAGAGTAATAAACTGCTGCTTTGCAGAACTCCTCATACAAGGTCTTGTTGCGTCATCCATCGCTCATGGTTGACCTTGTAGTGGTTAAATGCCTATCGTAATTTGCAGCAAAGGTCAGAGACGTTTTTAAAAAAATCCACATCATTTGATGATTGTATACTTTCCCTGGTAACGACTTCTTGATACAATGCTTTAAAATAACTTTCTATTTACAGGCTTGCATTGAAGTTACATGTATCCCATAATGTTCTCGTATGTCATTGTCTGTCCATGTATGGTACTGTTTGTTCTTTGCTATGAACAAGCACACATTGCATGGTCAGCATCAAACATGCTCAGCACGAAACATTCTCCCTGTGTCATGAAGCTATCACTGATTTTTTGGCAGATTCAAAGAACATCTGAAACAGAAAAGAGAGAAAGAAAGAAAATCAGTTACCTACATGATTCACTTCACTCACCTCTTCACAAATTAAAAACCACTCCTCGCCAAACAATAGAGATAAAAGATTTAATACACTGTTTAAGACATTAGGACATTAAATGTATGAAATGGGTCATGTATCTGCTTGAAAGTATGGGTGTATGTGTGAGCTTAATCTTAAAATGCAGGGCTTGTCAAATGATTGTGAACACAAAAACTTGAAATAAATCATAGCTAATACAGAGAAGGCAAATTATCATCTGTTGAAGGCCGGGAAGGGATAAAGTTAAAGTAAAGCTCTTCTTGCTTTCAATAGATGATGTACAATGACTATTTGTACCCCCTGTAAATTTGATTTGATTTTTTTGTTCTTCTTTTCTTTTTCCCCTCATAATTCTAAGAATGAGAAGGTTGAATTAGGTTGAATAAGGGCCTTTGTTGGATACTTTCAGATGTAAAGCTTTAAACTGTCACATTCTCAAGAAACACAAATTTAAAAATTTAAACAAATTGATAAGGGTATGAATGATTTAGTCATATATATGAATATACAAGTTAATTAATCAAGTTTCTAAATTTTGAATACTCTCTTCAGAATGTAAATACTAAATACCAATCTTGCCTCACTAAAATGTGTATTTGTGTGGATGTGTTGGGGTGGGGGGGGGGGGGTGAGATTCAAGGCAATTTGGATGATCATTATATCTACTAACCCATTTTTAGATGAAACTGGTATTAAATCTATTTTTTAAACAAAGATGTGCACACAAAGGACAGAAACCCCCTCCATCCATGGCAGCCGTGCTAAAGCCAGGGTAATAATCGGGAGCGCCAGGAGGGTCAAATCTGACTGACATGAGCGCTATACAAGAACCACTTATTATTATTATTATTATTATCCCATTTCTTATCCATTCGAGAATTTCTTCCGTCTCTTCTCACTAACTGATGCAATCCTCCTTCTTCATCTCCATTACAATAGGGGGAATCCCCATCAAAAGCATACATATGAGTCATTCTCTGGGGAATCCATACTTTTTATGTTTGTTCTCTGAAATGCCATGCTGACGTAATATCTTAAGGATGTAGCCCAGACCCAAATAAATATCAAACAGAGAAGTCATTGAAACCAAAGGACACTCCTCAGTCTAAGAGCCTTCCTTCAAGGTAGGAAACCACATTCCTTTGTGTCCAGGCAAGATATAACCCCCAGAGGGAAATTATTAAAATGCCTTTTATAAGCCACAAAAGCCTCATGATTGATATCCAAGTAAAGCCTGAATCAAGATTGGGTGTGTAACAAAGAAACTTTAAGATGAAAATATTGCAACATGCATCATCATGGCACACCTATGTTATGAATCATAGGAACCCATTCAATACCAAAATCATTACATGACACACTAGTCAAATAACTGAAAATTGGAGACTATTACATTTCTGTGCAAGAAATATATATACATGTATATATTTGTTTCATACTTGGGGGTGAGGCAATGATATTGAGGTAAAAACATTCTCAAGGTTTAAAAAGTTGGATTTTTGGTCCTTCGTTAAATTGCAATTTTCAAATTGTTTTTAATATCCTATAAATGGAACAGCTGATAATCAGTCAAACCTATCCAATACAATAACAAAAACGAAAATATATATATATATATATATATTTCAGGAAGTAATTATGACTTGTTTGGACAGTGTCTATATGAATATAATTTGATTTGGATAGAATAAAGTACATTGTTTAATGATAATGCAAATATATTTCAGGAAATAATTATGAATTATGACTTGTTTGTTCAGTATTATATGATTGTGAAAATATCAACTGGATATTGCATTGTTGAAACAGCCATCTATTCAAATTGTATTTCTGCTATAAATTAATCATTAACTTGATGAATAGAATTACAAGGACATAGAGCAGACAGCTGATCACTTCCATTAATACATCATGCATCATGAGGCATGAACAAGAAGTGGTATTAGCTTTAGCATCTCATATCATGATACATGAAAACATATCACTAACCACTTTGGCCAGACACCATGGCTGCACACTGAGACCAAAATGACTCAGTTCCCATCAAACATTTACATGCGGTGATGCCAGTCTGTCTGTTCGGAGCCAGAAGGCCTTTGCTCCATGTTAAAGTATATGAATTAACACCCTTCTGGCTCCAAACAGACAATATCCAATTCAAAACCAACTTAGAATTGATGATTAGTCCACTTGAGGAGAATACTAAACATTCATGAAGCATTACGCACACATCACACAACGAACATATAGTTTTACATTAAGAGATGATAATAAAGTAGTATGTTTGTCTTAAAAACAGGTGTTGAATTTTTGAAGTAGTTACTGTATATGTACTATGTCTGGATATGCACCTGTGTAAACTACAACATTACTATCAAGGATTTACAAAAATGGTCTTTGTGAAACGTATTGTAATGTAGTTTGTTTCTTTCGTTCAGTTTCATTATATTAATACATTGAAAGCAGTGAGACACGGTTAGAATATTCTAAGGTTAACCACATCTGAATGGCCCTATAGTGTCATTCAGAGAATAAATCCGTTCACTGATTCTTCAGCAAGTTACTGCACTTTCATCAATTACAGGAATGTATTATTTGAACAAGAACCAGGATGTTACCACTTACTAGAACTCATTAACAATAGAAAAAGAGGAAGAGATGAAGGAGACAATTACAGGGTGAATACATGTCTTTATTCCAATTTTTTCATAAATTCCTCATTACTCTCAAAGGATAAAAAGATTTACTAATATAAAGAAATATTAAATTTGAAAGTAAAGTTTTGCCAAAGGCATTGGCGAGCATAATCAATACCATGAAATTTACAAAATGGTTGTAACCCATTTTTTTAAATTGTGGAATCGTAACATATAAATCTCATATAAGATTCATGTAGTGCCTTGCCGGGGATTTAAATATGAGCAAAAGGTTAATTTTCTTTCTTCTTGCTTACCTTGCAAAAACCCTTGAAATTTTTGCCATCCATTTCTTGGAGTGCTTGACAAAATGCCTGTGATAACAGAAGAAATAGAGTAAAACAAACGAAATAAAGTAAAACAAATGAAAATGAAATTGGCAATATTAAACAATTAAAGTTAAACTTTGAATCGATTGCATCTACAGCCAAACCTGGGCTATCAACATTGCTGCTAGACTTCTATGTCTAGACACTCCCAAACAGGAGACAGGTGCCAGACACAAACGAGACAATTTTCCTGCCAATATTTACACATTTTATTATTTTTTGGTTGAACAGTGCGTTTAACTATACACCTGCTGACCACATGTCCTTCCTGTTAATTAATTAATTATTTTGGCAGCAGTATTGAAAAGACAATGCACATATATAATAATGGTCCAGCATGTAAATCATATTTGACAGAATGTTATGACAGCTGAGCCCATAAAGATTAAATGGAAGTACATGAACAATGAAACATAAATATCTATTGTATATATAATCATATTCTGCACTGCAATTAATTGTCTTAATCATCTTACATGTATTGCATCTACATTATTTGTATCTGTAACATGAAATTAATAATAAGTTACTAATTATTTAAAGGCACAATGGATTGAAGGAGGTACTTTTAATTTTTGAAAAATATCATGAATTGTAACTTTTTATGTAACAGGGCCCTGGTGATACATATCTAAACACTATAACATAAAACACTTCATTTTTGATAACGGTTGTTCTATCTTCTTTAAAGAAGATGACCATTTTCATTATCTTAATTCATATTGGGTGTGTGGATTCAGAGATAGAAATAGAGGCCATTCCTAGTCCTGAATTGACAAGCAAATATAAATGTATCTCAAGTGTATATTATGGTTTTATATCAGTCTTTGTGGCAGAGTAGTGATTTGAAGTCACAAGTTCAAATATGAAGTCAAAAGTTCAGATCTGAAGTCAAAAGTTCAAATCTGAAGTCAAAAGTTCAGATCTGAAGTCAAAATTTCAAATCTGAATTCCTATCATCCCTCATAGCCTAAAGATCTACAATATAAAAACTTTTCTGTAAAGCATCAATGCTCATAAATGATCACTATTTTATGATAAGGTTTTCTAGACTGCCAAGTGCCAATCACATCTAAATAGTTGCTTGAATAAGCCAGTTCACGGTTGCAGTCTGAGCATGAGCAGATAAAGGTCAATGCAGAACAAATTGTGAAATACACGGAGACGAAATACTGGAAACGTGCTCATGAAAGTTATGTAATCATTATTCATTAATGCACTCCATAACACACAGGTGGGAGTATTCTTTGTAAGTGGGGGAACAAAGGCTATTTATATAGCAGCTCCATCGCTGTAGGAGTGATTATTTCAAAATGTACAAAGTGGAACCTCTTTATGTTTTGAAGATCTGTGGATATTCGGGGTCATTGCAGTAATGTGTTAACCGTGAACTAGTCTATTGCAAAAACAAATTCAGCGATCGTGCACAACGCATCTAAGTTCATAGATAGGACATTCAGTCAATAAATTCTAGGTTAAATATGGCACAAATAATAGAACTGCTACTCTTGCAAGTTGCAATAAAAAAACATGCAAAAGGCATTGTGTACATGCTGAAATTGCAAGAGGGGTTAAAGGGTAATCTTAAACTAATATTGGTTTTCTTGCTATCACAATGTGACTAAGTATGCAGCATGCATACAAAAGCATCCTCTTTCTTAGAAAATAAATGACATATCTCAAAAACTGTTGTTTTCTGCATAGTTTTCAAAAGGAATTGTTATTCGATTTCATGGAAGCTGTTGTTCAATTCAATGAAATAAAATTGGTCTGATGTTTAGCTCTTGGTACCCATGATTGCCTTTATTAAAGCCCCTCTAAAGTGTTGAAAGCCCCAAAAATGTGATGGTAACATTTTACTTGAATTTTTTATAATATGAAAGAGGATGTCAGTTAAGCATTTTTGCAAGACAAATTTGTTTGAAGTACAATAATGATAACATAATACAAAATTTAGGTTGTCTGCGTACACAGAAAACCCAAATAATGTATTCTTTTACCAATATTTGTCCTCAGAACAAGTGTTGATTACTTCGCCTTCGCTGATGTGACAACAGACGTCATATTGATATATTTTCTGCTCAATCAAGACCTCATCGATAATATTTATGATGACTATAGCAATAACTATACTGATAAATAGTGGGGGGGGGGGGGAGGGGGGATTTTTTGCAGAAGTGTGTATTAAATGACATCTTCTTTCACTTTATGATACAATTTTATGCTATTTTCTGGTCCCATTTATAATTTCAATGTTAAACATTCACATTTTATTGTTATATTGATGTACTTTTCGTTTGGATAATAAACTTCAAACTTCATATTGAGTGTTTCAAGTAGTTTTGGTACTAAAACACACCAACCAACCAACTGGAGCATCTCACATCCCCTCTGGCATGAGCACAAGATGATGAAATGTGCAGAGCCAGCATGCGTCATGGAAATTCCCCTTCTTGAAAACATTGCTAACATTCGCAGACGAATGACAAACATTAAACAGGTTTAGAACATTCGAGAAAGGAGGTTAACATACATGTACAAGGTGAAAGTGATGTCTGATGTGTAATATCTTTGTTTATTATGTGTCATCAGGGATTAAATATGGCTATATACATCCTATATCCTTCTTTTAAAGAGCATTTGGAAATATCAACGTATCTGCTTATTGTAGGATTGGCAGAAATAATATGAACTCTTTTATATCTTATGAATTTGCTTCCCTCTACAAAAATAAACACCAATATTTAGGTATCCTTGTGTAAAAAGCCGATATTGAGGATATTACATGTACTTCCTAGTTATTGCTTACTTAACTCCATCATTAAAGTTACTTATTTACAATTGGTTATCGTTTTTGCATAAATATCTGTGGTCTATAACAGCCTCTTCAATACATCCTGTCTTGTAATGGTGCTATCATTAATTTACATGATAAAGACTAAATTATAGGAAAAAGGATGTTATTGCTACGTATGATATAATGTTTATAGTTAGAAATATCTCCAACATACAAACCTGAAGAAGTATAATATTAGGGCAAAAAATCCGACTATTTGCTGATTTTCAAGTCAAATGGATAGCCATTTTAATTGCCAGTACATGTAGATGTTATCTGATGTGTAAGGCAACATTTGGGAGCAAAACAAGGAACATTTCCTTTCAATCACAGCTGGAGAAATTTAATATTAAGGCTTCATCTTCACTATTCATTGCTTTAAAAGTCCATTGATATTAAATAATCTAGATACTAATCTGATGTGTGAAATATCACGAAAATGAACAAAGAAATCCAATGAGCATAGCTCAAGAAATTTAACAGAGCTTAATCATAATCACTCAATATTCAATGATTTGAAAGTCAAATAGATATCAAATTACTCTAGATACTTATCTGATGTGTTAAATAACATCAAAGAGCAAAAATTTAAAACATCACACACCAGCATAGCCCACAATAGCTACACTGTTTGGAGAAGTTTTGGCACTCTTTTAGATTTTACACGAATGTATGTCAAAATGACACCTATGATCTATACTCGCTATACTCATGGCTATCATTATATGAGTAACTAAAACAACAATTTAGAGTGTCATCATGCTGTGAACACATCTCAGGACTAGGAAAAGAAGACTTTAAAATATTAAAGCAAAATATACAAGCATATAAGTATTGGTGTGTACTGCAAGGTTCTGGAATCATCAAAATGATAAGAGATTTGGCCCAGTCTTGGTAAAGATGTATATGAGACCACACAAATAAGCCAACATTTTCAAGCTGTTACATGTCAAACTTTGAATATGAAGGCATTTGAAGAGCCATGCGTTTAAGGGAACAAGTTTTCTCTGATGTTCTTCCACACTTGCATAATAACAATGAAAACGCTCACAAATTATTTTTCCCCGCTCACCCGAACTCGATCTTCTCTTTAAACCTTCGAATGGTGATGTCGAAATACAGCGATTGCCAATACCAATGTTTCATTTAAAAACAGCTTGCGTCACAAGATTAACAATGAAACCGGATAATCTATTGATTATATTGAAGGTTTCAAAGTACAGTTTAATAACTTTAATCCAATCACAAGGCCTTTACTGGAATAACAGCAGTACTTGCATCAACACTACGTAATCTGCCAAAAGATTGCGCAATAGGGACTTCCCACACAGGTATTTCATGACGAATTATTACCTAGATAATGGGACACATGTTTATATTTTCCAACACGTATCAAGGAGGTACAGATTAAAGTAATCAAAGAAACTAGGTTAAAATGTAAGCAATATAATTTGATTACAATTTGCTTTTCCTGGTTCATTTTCATTATGAGAAGGTTATGGATGATCACATTCTGGAAAGTCCAGCATAGAGTTTTTAAAAAAACAATAGAAGTACATCCAAAACAAAAACAAAAACAATTGTAGATGTTATGCTTTCATCGCATGTGTGTTAGTCTTGTACTTCAACAAGTAACTTTACATTATAGAGCTCTACTAAAGTGAGTCAATTCATTGTCTCCATATTAAATAAAGGTACACAATTATAAGGTCAATAGCTATGAACTTTCTTTTATTTTGAACAAAATATTTTAATTTCATAGTGTAACTGGAAAACTTAATTGGACTTTAAAGTTGTCTCTCTACAGCAACTGTAGTCACCAGCTCAAAGCCAAACTGTATTTAAACTTTGCAGATAAAGTGTACCACATTAATTTAAAGGTTTTTTTCATAAACAGATCTTTAAATACCACCAAAAGAACTGCTAACCAACAGTTATCGAGTGGAGATCTGAAAGTATATGGGGCTCATGCTCGAGTGATGCAGCCCATTTAGCACCTTTAGGAGAATTTTAACGGAAGTGCCTAAGGATACCGATTACTATGAAAAACCACAACAGGAAACCATAATACAACTGCTTTCAATTTCATTCATAAATTCTTCTTTACTACTTGTCTGCCACATGCCTTACAATCAAGATACTACACCACAATGTATTTGAATAGAAAGGTATGTTTATCCCCCATATACAATGATGGTTTCTTCATCCGACTCCAACATTTTTTACATACTGAAACGATAGAATCTGGACCCACATAATAGATCAGTCAAAATTCTTTATTTCATTTTCTCTTTGAACGTAAAATATGCTTCCTGTCCTGTGATTTTGCAATGATGTGGTACTTTTTTAGTTTTCTTTTGAGTCTCGAAGTGAGTTCCAAGTTTAAACAAAAACGATGAGATGATTGTTCACCTTACATCAGATGAGATGTGACATAACAAATACTTGGCGAGGTACCAAACCGTGCCTATAATTTATGTAGAATTAGAAGCAGGAATTTATTTTTTGAAGAAAGCCCCAAACCAAAGGAAACCAAAGGAAACCAAAGAATATACAAAGCATTAATAAAGTAAATTCCTTCCGTGCTGTCGCCAGTGAATCTTGGCCAAGAAAGTGAGCATGGAGCAATGTGATTTTATCAAGAATGGCTACTTTTTTTGTATTGGTTTAAACAGCCCATAAACTGCATGATAAGTTGATAACAAATTCCAGAAACAATATAAGCCAATAGCTATGAATCAAACGCATTCTACTTGCAATAAGGACATCCTCAATGAATACTAATCTTGTCAGCATCTGTTTCTACATATAAACCAAATCCTGTATGTGAGGCAGGTGAATTACCGGTATAGATAACATCTGTTTAAACAAAAATTGATAAATGATTACGTTTCAAGTTGATCATTATTCCCAAAGACTACTTTGATGCTGATATTTTATCTGCTTTTGATTTATTCATAATTTTGGCAAATGCAAATAGAAGTAGAAAAAAAAGTATGATTTGGGGGACTCTTTTTCCCTTCTTTAATTCAACAAAACTTGCACCATTTTTATTGCGTGTAAACAGAACTGCAAATATGTGTGTGGTTTTGATTTTGAATTGATTATATAACAGCGTACAAACTTTTATCCCAGTTTTTGTTGGTGCCATATAAATTTCTTCTTGATGAAATACATCGTGACATTTACAATCATAAGACTTTATGTTCTGCAAAAATGCTTGCTATTAAACACCTGGAAATGACCATCATATATAATTCCCTTGATGGTTCCACTCATTGGCATTTAAAGAGAATTATTTCCTCCTATTATCTATGTTCAAGGAGGAAGGAAGGATCCATTTGTTTATATATATAGATCTATGCAATTCAAGAGTATACAAATTTCATGTAAACTTTGCAATAGTAAACATTCACATATTAAACTCTAACTAATGATTTTCCCACACAAAGCTGTGTTATTTCCTCATCTGAACTTCAAGGATATCTTATGAGTATGCTCAGACAGCTAAAGATGCTACACTACACTCATAAATATTTACAAAGCGGATCATCCTGGCAGTATTATTGATTATTTAAATATTTGTACAATTCTAATCTATTCTTTGAAAAAAATTGACACAAAAATCCTCAAAGACGTTCAAGGTCATGAAATTATTTGTCAGTACACGTGTCACATATCAGAGCACAATGATAACAAGTGTGTTTACATAGACAACAGGTTCCTACAAGCCTTGACCAGTGAAGTACAGTGTAGATAGAATCAATACTTAGACAAATAGATTTCTCTTTCTCTCTAAAAAAAATTCTCTTTCACCAATTCCAAATTTATCCAAGAAAAAGAGATGATGAGATTTCCTTTTCATTTCCTTTTTGTTTTACCTCTCATCTCTACTCGACTCATTGATATATATATATATACCAATTATTCAAATTCCCCTTCACACTCTGTCCTCTGATAGTGACGGTAGTGAGAAAAATCGTAACGCAAAGTGAATGCAATTTTTTTTTCACTACCGTCACTTCGTGAAAACAGCGACGATATATTCTCCAGCGACAATTGCCCCAGGCTTTAATTTAGTCAGACATAGGATAAACATTAGGGCTGCAATTGGGTTTAGGTTAGGCTTGGGGTTAGGGTTAGGTTTGGAGTTAGGGTTAGGTCTGGGATTAGGGTTAGATATAGTGTTTCCTCCATAGTTTAAGTGAAGAATTTGGTTGACGTAGGATCTTGAACGCAGAGTAATTGCTGCCAGAGCATTTGTTATACAAGGGCAAACACATTTAAATATGTACTCTGCTAAACCAAATGACCAAACGATTGGTAAACTTTAAACATCTTAACCATGCATAGTTTATAAAAGGTTTATTCAGACATGGTGCAGTCAATCTACTAAAGGCAAAACATACATGTATATAAAAAAGAAAAGCAAAATGAAACATTAAGGCAGAGGGGGGAAAAAAGAAAAAACCCTGAGTAACAGTAGCCCCGAAAGCAAACTCACCGTTTTGTATATTATTAGATACACGATTGTGAAGTGCATTTATTGTTATTGCAGCATCTATTATTGTTTAATATCTTGAATATGAATGAGCCTAAATGATACACTGGTTTCACAAGTTTGTAGCATTTCATATTTAAGGTTACACATTGCTTTTAAGCGATACCTTTAAAATTATGGAAAAAGACAAGATTAGCTATTAAGAGGAAACAACAGTATCCAAAGCCTTTTAAGAGAAGGAATAATGCAGAGGAAATGATTGCTAGTAATTTTCAGGAACCGAAAGCTCCATTGGGAATTTTTTTCCCCACTTTAATCTCTTATCCACTTTAATCATACTTATCAGAAACTGAAACTTGTGAGGTATAAGATGAGTGCAAATTCTAAATATAACCACAAACTTGCTTTTGTCATTTCAAAATTGATAGTCACATCCAAACAAGAAAATTCAGGTATTTTGGGATACAAGTAGATCACACTGACTTTTGAATGAATGAACAAAAAACAAAAAAACAACAACAAACAAATGAACAGAGGAAGGTGTCTGGACTTACAAACAAAAGTTGTCACACAGGTATATAATATTTGGACGTGTTATAGAACTCTTTTCAAATGACTCAATCCACCCTAATTAAATTTCTAAGCACTAAACAGATAAATAAACAAATAAACAAGGAATCAACAAACAAACAAAAATACAAACACCCTGTGAACTCACCTGGGCGGAGTCTGTGTCCACATGGACTGGCAGAGACAAGAAACATTCTGTTTGTAGAAACTGGATCAGGTTTAATCCATCTTTAGTGTAGATACTCTTAAGTACTGTTGAAGCTTCAGCTAAGGCCTTGAGAACAGAGAAAGTAAGGAGACATATTATTTTTTAGATCTTAGGAAAGATGCATGATTTTAAGAATTTGTGTCAATAAATTCATTTTTTATAATGTAAAGTATCATTTATTCTGAAATGTGGACTTAATTTGCCTGACAATACAGGAGTTTACAAACTTTGAGCCACAATCTAATAATTGAACTGAAATTTGAATTTGATAAAGGTTTCATCAAGAGCTATAGTCCTATTTTCAGTTGTACATCAAGCTAAGAATGTTTGTAGTACGGACTATATGCATCACAATTTACAAATCATTTATTTTCTTAAATCATTTGTCAGTTGGGAAATCAGAAAAACATAATTATTGTAAAAAGCAATCAAAGGATATAACTAAAAATGTAATGTCATTGAGAAAGTGAAAGCCCTGTTCTATCCAGTAAAAAAATATCACAATTGTTACAATTTATTATAACTGGGAAGATGTCTGTGTCTGTCTGTGTGTGTGTGCATGTCTCTCTCTCTCTCTTCCTCTTTTTTTTCTCTACTCCTCTTCCTCTGCCCCTCTCTCTCTCTCTCTCTCTAATGCATGCTGTATCTCCCCTTCCCCTCTCTCTCCCCCTCCTCATTTGAATAATACTAAATGTTGGTTACCATGACGGTTTGTGCATCAGTGAGGTCAAAGGTCTTCTGGAGGGGAGCTAAGAAACAGGCAGGGATGACGTACTTGTAGATGAAGTCTCTGAAGAGAGGCATCCCTCCGTTACCACCCCAAGACTCTATCAATCTCTTCAGGATGTTGAAACATGTCTTGATCATCTGGATATTAAACATGGAAGATTAGAATTAATCAACATCATCTTTATGGTGTCATGATATGTTTCTCAGTCCATTGTATCGAGTGATTATCAATCAAAGTGATACATCATGAAGTTTTTCTGAGCTCTTTTGAGACTGGATAAAATGAGACATGATGACATTCATTAATTTTCATTGATTTTCATTAATTCAAATTCATTCATTCGTTATTTCAACACAAGTATACTTATCAGTCAGCTTGAGAAAATGAAATGGATCAAACTGGTCTAGTGCTACATCAAAGTTTTTCCAAACTCTCTTGGAATTTGTTTGTTGATATCAACATACTGTATGTAGGATTATATCTACTCCTTTGTTAAAAAAGGATGCAGCTGATAAAAGAATGTCCTCTTATCTTAAAGATTCTCTGCATGAATATTTTTATTTCATTGCATAAAATCACATGACATTCTACAAAATATTGCACAACCATAAAAAAAAAAAAAAAAAAATCAAGGACTAAAGTTACTGCTCTTCTGGACATTCAACTCTTAAAGGCCCACTGCACTACTTATAGCTACTTGCGCCCTCTATATAACAAACAATGCCTAATCGGTGACCATTGGTCCCCCATGATCCTCTTTTTCTTATGTTAACTGAGAGCTGAGTTGATGAGATAACCACCTGTCCAGTGACCTTGCAGGGCGGTCTAATCCCTCCTGTAAACTACGGCAGATAAGCTTTAAGCAAACCACAATGGATGTCAAGTTCTTATTTTCAAACCTGTAGTTTACAATGCATGTTGAGAAATGACCATGTAAATTTAGTTATCTGTATCAGAATATTAACATCCTTGCACAATATCATCTGAAGAAACAAACAGATGCTTTGGCACATTTGTCTCGTAATCAAACCACAAAAGATCAATAGGTCAATAGGATGCAGCTGATAAAAGAATGTCCTCTTATCTTAAACATTCTCTGCATGAATATTTTTATTTCATTGCATAAAATCACATGACATTCTACAAAATATTGCACAACCATAACAAAAATAATAAATCAAGGACTAAAGTTACTGCTCTTCTGGACATTCAACTCTTAAAGCAAACCACAATGGATGTCAAGTTCTTATTTTCAAACCTTTAGTTTACAATGCATGTTGAGAAATGACCATGTAAAATTAGTTATCTGTATCTGAATTTTAACATCCTTGCACAATATCATCTGAAGAAACAAACAGATGCTTTGGCACATTTGTCTCGTAATCAAACCACAAGAGATCAAAAGTCTTATGTTCATATGTGTTTACTTCCTGTTTTTTTTTTTATGTTTCTAAGAAACCTGGGAAAGATCTGGGTAGTGGTATTTTAATAAATGAATAAGATCAGGGGATTGGTAAATAAGCTGATGATTAAGGGATCAGGTTACCTTCACATGGAAGTTATTTTCATTGAAATGATGTATCATACGGATCATATAGCCTCTATAAGGTAAATATAGAAGAATAAGAAGCTGTAAGTAGGATTAAATTAACTTACCACAGGATCTGGTTCTTCAATTGTGGCTCGTACCACGCTCAGTAACACCTCTTCAAAACATGGTTGCTCTGAAACAAAAAAGATGACAATAATCAATTAGTTTGAGAGGTCGTGGAATGACTGACAGGTCGCGACTTCAAAAGTGTTTCGTCATCTCCGACGATCCTTGATTTTATACGACATATGCTTGTGCTACAAGTGCTCTGTGGTCAATATCCTGGTCAATATCCTGGTCAATATCCTGCAGTAACGGAATTCCCAAGTTCAACGCTGGACAAAACACTGTAACTAATCTTAACCCTAACCATAACATTAACCTAAAACCCAATAGCATCCTTAAACCTACATCTCTGACGACATACAGCCCGGAGAAATTATCGTCAGAGCACCCAATCAAGAGTATACACTTCAAAGAGGGAGAATCTAGAGAGGCAGTGGTTAACACTTTTCATTTGTCTGCATGGGCTGCCTGATGAAATTTGACATCTGAGGATAGAGAAGTAGACTTTGGGGCCTACCGGTATGTGCACCAGGTACCTGGTAGTGTCAAGCCCCAAGTTTAAATCTTTGGGTCTTCCACTTCTTTTACATGCTTTCATCTTGAAGAATAATCAGGAGATAGGGTCTTATAAATTCACACGACTGGCAGACAGTAAACTCATCGTTCTTAATTTTGTTATCATCTGCACGGATCCACAAAGGATATTTGATATTTTGGAATTAACAAAATTCAGTCTCTAAACAGAAGATATGAAATAAAATACTGATGTGAATATGGCAACCTTTCAAAGAAAAAAAGAAAGAAGTATACCCTTATATCCTACATCACATTTAAAAAAGATAAACTACTGCATCATATTCACATGTAAGCCTACCAGTAAAAAGAGAAATTGTATATACAGTACCAGTAAAAAGATTATTCTTTTTACAAAATTTATGCAAAAATCATGTCATTGTTTGAATATCTTTATCAGGGGAATTCACATAAAAAGCCGCACTTTCTCAAATCATTGGTGACTTTGACATCATATCAAGACACTCATTTGACTTTCAAAGAAATAAATGTATAAATATATTGATGCCCTCAACCAGATATGAGCATAATTGTTATGTCTACTGACACACAAAATTCATTTAGCACACTGCCTAATACATGTAGGTGTTTATAATTTCATTCCAATCAAAACAAGTTTGTTTACTGAGAATGCTAGTATTTATAACATATGACAGATGGTGCACAATTAACCACGTTGCTAGAATTGAAATTCAATATCTAACCATATATATGTTCACTTGGTAAAGTTGGTACATAACAAGTTTCATAATGACACAAATATTGCACAATGCATGAATTGATCATTGTTGAATTGATTAAGAAGGTATCAAAAACTTCCACATTTATTCTCTAAAGAACTGTATATTGCAATTAATTCCAAATTAAAATTCCCATGGTTTTCTCTCAGTTTCCTTCAATTTTAGCAAGAAAATGAATGGATGTGAAACAATATTACTTTGAAAGGGTATGGCTTAAGGCATGCATGGCATTGTGTGTATGGCAGCCTTGTGTTACAAAATATACATAATGGAGTGTACTAATGTCCTTGCTTCTATTTCAAGATCAAATTACCAATCCCAGGGACAATCATAGACCTACCCTCATGACCTTAATCATAGATATTGCTATTTCAAGGGCTAAATTTTGATCTAGTCAATTTCTAGTATTAAAAAGAAATTGTAGTGGCATCCGATAACTGTGATCTGATTTGACTCTTATTAAGACTTAATCCTTCAATCACATATATTACATTTTTATGGATTAGGCAAAAGTGTTATGGTGGCTTTAAAGCCCCACTGCACTACTTATAGCTACTTGCGCTCTCTATACAGCCAACAATGCCTAAGCGGTACCCGTTGATCCCCCATGATGCCCTTTTTCTGATGTTAATTGAGAGCTGATTTGTTGATATAACAACACTATGAACATGACGGACAAAGAAAGAGGACAAAATAGACAGTTCCTTATTCTACCCTCAACAATTGCTGTGGTAGACAAAGGAACATCTCTTCACTGCTATTATGTAAAAATGCATAGAACAGGTGAATATGCATGTGACACTTGTTCTACACATTTTTACAAAATAGCAGTGAAGGGATGTTCCTTTGTCTACCACGGCAATTGTTGAGGGTAGAATGAGGAACTGTATATTTTGTCCTCTTTCTTTGTCCGTCATGTTCATAGTGCAACCTGCCAGTGAGCTAGCAGGGAGGTCTAATCTCTCCATGCCAAACTAGTGTAGAGGGGCTTTAATATATACATGTATTTGCGGTTTAATATGATGAATTGTAAATCAAAAATAATATTTAGCTTTGTATGACTAATGATATCCTACCCCTGGAACAGTTTCAAATTTCAAAATCAATGAAAACTCTTACAATAAAGCCACTACAAATAATTTTCATATAAATGCTAATCTTCTACACATAATAAAATATGAACATAAGACTCATTTCCTTATACTCAAAGGTTGTGATTTTTCAACTTGTAAAACTTCTTTGAAGTCTGATATGTGAGAAACTGTACATAATCCTTGTTTATGCTTCTCTCATACACTTTGGTGGGAAATCTTGTAGATTAATGAGCAAGAATACTAAAAATCTCTCAAAATATATCTTGAGTTATTTTTGGGTTGAGGTTTCCATTAAGATATTATACTCAGTTTCAATATAAACTTGAAATGTAATTATTAACCATTAACCCATGGAAACTAAAACTACACATGATTTATATATCTTCTGCTAAAAATAGACAAAGGATATTTATAATGGAGCCTAGATTTTACAGCAGATACTAAAAGCCTGGTTCACACATGGAGTAGTGAGCCACCTCCACCTGACCCCCCCCCCCCCCAAAAAAAAAAAAATCTGTGGCAAATCAAGCTGGCATTGCAATAGTGGTTCTTACATTTCTATATCTTTCAAAGTATGAATGCCTTCTGACCTTTGTTGCACACAGCTCTTTTTCACCTCCACTGGCCTTTCTTTAATACTAAATATTGTCATAATGCAGCAGCACTCATTTTGAGGTCATTTACTGCATATCTGAACAAGGCTTGAAAAAGTAGTGTTTTTTGTTTTTTTTTGTTTAGAGAGAATTGTTAATTTGAGGGGTGTCTGGAGTGGATTGGATTATTGGTCAACACATATCCAAAAAAGAAGAAGAAAAATAAAGAAGGCAAAATCAAATGGTACATTACCTGAAAGGTTTAATTTGTATCTTATTCGGCCAGAACAATCACCATTATCGTGCTACAATCCAAGGATGAATATTCATATCGAATACATTTGCATATTCACAAGAGTAGACATACCTTGGTGACTAATGACTTCTAGGCAATCGTTCATTGCAATGCATTGAAGGAACTGAAAGTAGCATCTCCTCAACGTTTGCTTATCAATGGTGGCTTGGGTGTCAGCTTCTTCAGCTGGTTGCTTGAGGACGGTATCTATGGTCCTCACAATGGGCATGAACACTGCTTGCAGGAACCGGATGATGGTTTTCTGATGGTGGTGGAGCAGAGAGAGAGAGAGAGAGCATTACAATATAATAATTTACTTTAAAATATTGGGGAAAAAACTAGAGCCAGTTGAATATCATCACCCTACTTATGAGAAAAAAAATATTACGAAAAAGTTAATATCATATTTTTCTTGATTTCAATGCTAATAAGCAAGGAGAGATTCTGATTTATCGATAACACATCATTGAAATATTAGCATTTTCTTTGATTATGAAGAGGAATGAGTTTAAATGTAGTTGTACTCTATGCATGTAGATGTGACCCCTCAATGAAATTCAAATGACTACCGTAAGAAGATCTTCATAATTTTTAAGTGATTTAGTGTTCCCTTCTAAAGAAAGGTTCTCATATACATTTCAACCTGCTACATCAGTTTGGATAAATGTTTTTAGAAGAATAAATGAGATTAAAAAAAGCACTAATTTGGTTGCATTTTGTTTCAAATACAATTGGCTCTCCCTGGATAAGTTTGAGGAAACAGACAAAAAAAAGTATCATTATCAGAAAATTTATGTAACCTCTAATACCACGACTGCATGTTACCTTTAACCATAATTCAATTTTTATTATGGTATACTAACATTGACCATTAATAAAGGCTCTTTATAACAATACACAATATGTTATTATAGTAACCATCTTTAAACATTGTACACTTTGGCTGTATTCCAAAGGAAACCTTGGACTGCTATTGTCTCCTGGTTGAAACTAAAAGAGGTCGTCATGGTACCTTGTTGTTATCTCATCGCTATATGATACAGTATTACAATGGTTACCAAAGCACATGTAGACATATGACTGACGTAAGCATGACAAGAACAATCAGTGTGGCTCTCACCTATATTTTGTTAACATATTTTGATTGACATGTACCATCTATTGTTTCCCCAGCTCCAGTTCATATAACATCATTGATTCTTGCACAATCTTTTATAAATCTATTGTTTCCCAGCTTAAGTTCACATTACATTGTTTATTCTTGCACCATCTTGTATAAATCTATTGTTTCCCAGCTTAAGTTCATATTACATCATTGATTCTTGCACAATCTTTTATAAGTCATATGACCACTCTCACTTTGGCATGTGAACCTTATCCTCACCTGGCTTAGTACTTTCATTTAGATATGATCACCCCTTCCATTATTTATGCAAAGTTTGTTTGAAATTTCCCAACCCTCCCATGCTGCAGTGGTACATAAAAACTCAGGAACAGATGGATGAATTAAAGTAAGAATTATGGAAAGATGGGAAGATGGACTGATTTCATATTTTTATTAATACAAATTGAAATATTATAGAACTCACATGACCCCTATCACAGAAAAAGATACTTAACCTCATCTGGCTAAATATCTCTGAATGGTATGCCATGTTAATTCACATGGAAAGAAAGTTTGTTTTATATTCCTTCACCCATGCATCCAAATACACCTTCAATCCTACCCCAACATGATGATGGTAAACAAACAAAAAACAGACAGACAGATGAAAAAGTAAGAGAAAAATATAATGAACTCTTGGATATAGAGTCTATGAAAACAATAACATCATTCAAAAGCTCAAGGAATGATAACCCACATACCCTGGGTAAAAGCTCCTAATCAGCTCTACATCTAACATCCCCCGATCATTCCTCCCTCCTTACCTTGAACTTTGAGATGATCTGATTGATAAGGGGCATGAACTTGTGCAGGTCCCTGGCTTCCGACTTCTTCAAGAGATGCTCTACGGCTACGGGTACGTAAGGCAACACGTCTTCCTCCAGACACACGACCATCCTGTGAAGATACTGCCTCACCGAGGCGTGGACGATGCCGAGCTGGTGGGGCACGTCTAAAGCCCTCAGGAAGACGTCCAAGGCATCGGTGTAGCACGTCTCGATGCCGCATTGCTTGATGGTCAGCTGGGAATGGAATGCCTTGCTGGTGCGACTAGAAAGGGGAGAAAGGTTTACATTTTGGTAAAACAAAGAAAGCTTTTGTGTACATTGTAAATATGTGATGGAAAGGGCGACAGATATGAAAATGCCTGGGATAGTACACAAACACGGTATTTATTTTTTCAAATAAGAAATTACTGATCCATATCAGCATTATTACTTTCATACAAAAAACTTAGAAAAAATGATTTATTGAGGCATAACGATTGTAGTGTAGGCACTGTGTACTGATTTGAATAGGCAAACAAGTTCTGTATTGGCAATGTCACAATTTTATAAGTTTTATGTGTATCCTAAGGAGGAATGTCAAAACATGTTTCTACTTGAATAGGTCAACATATTTTAAAAATGTTGATGTCTGAATAAAAGTTTGTGCCCTAGACAACAATATGTTTATGAGGATCAGACCCCCCTGCTCGTTGAAACTCGAAGAAAAAAAAGAGGTTGTCAACTGTGAAATCAGCCCATTTCCAATCCTACGTCACGGCCTTGGCATTGACTGTTGTTATGCAGGTGAGGATATTGCCACATATCAACAGGGAAGCACCTTGACCCGATTTCACAGAGCTTGTTATGAATAAAAACTGCCAAGACAAATTTGGTCGCAGCCAATCAAATGCAACGATTTCAGTAGCTTGTAACAGTTATTTTGATTTGGAAATGATAACAAGTTTGGTGAAATGGGACCCTGGATGGCTTTAAGATTTCTTTACACTCCAAACAGACAGCACTGATCAAAATTTTTCCATCATCTGTCTCGCATGCTTTATTTCAATGCTAGATCATGCAAACACAGGAATTTGACATGATCAATAAACATGTATGAGAGAAAAATCAACAACAAAAGGTCATGGATTGAGTGCCCCCAGGCTACGGCTCACATTTAGATTATAAAGGTATAATCCCCTTTTTCTGATATTTCGCAGGGTGGAAGGGATAATTATTATTCAAAAGCGATACCATTTCTTTGATCTTTTACCCTATAAAATCAGCCGATTAACATAGGTATTTCAGGGCGGATGAACTTTTTTAATCATAATCCACTTGACTGATTATCCTAGCCCTCTAGAGAGGTGAACTGTAAATAACTCTGTAATAATACAACACAACACAAATTAATTCTCCGATGTGTACTTCCATAAGTCCATAACATTTTGCTTGAGTGAGCATATCTGCTTGACCTACATACCATCTGTTGAAAGCCAGAAGGGCTTAACTGATATCATTTAACACAGGATTACTGCCCTCCTGGCCCTCAACTAATGATGTCTTCATTCATTCAGATTAAACCTGAAAATGGTGAAACTGCACTTTTTAAGCCTTTGCACTTTGCATTATCAATAACAATGCTCGATATCATGTAAGTCAAGATTAGTAGTTTATCTCTTATTCACAATGAAACATTCAAAAGTGCACTGCTGAGATAAGCAATATCTATTTAAGCATAATGACCCATAATGATCAAAGTTCTCATTGCACACAACTATCTTGAAATCAAACTGGAAAGTTTGGGGAGGTATGATATGAAGGTCATTTGATCTCACAATTATTTTGTAATCTATTTATCAAAAGGGTACTTCCCAATTATATGCAAACTAATGAAATGAGTGCCTAGATATGATAGATCACATTTGACCTTATGTTCTGACTCAGGAGGGGCACCTTAGACTACAAGATATGAAGATTTTTTTTCTTCTTCATTTTGGTGACAACAGGTTATGTGAAGGTACATGAAAATACTACACACATCCTTTGCATACAATCGAGTTTGGTATATCACAAACTTCCAAAATTCTGGCTCTAATGCATCATGGTTCTTTTTTTGCTTGTTCTTGTTTGTTGTCAATCTTTTGAGTATATATGCTTATACTTATTCTGTAAATCTTCAATCTGGTCTTGTTACTCTCATCTTATCCTAGTTATGTGTAGGTGGCAGCACTAAAAAGGCATTTCCTTTCTAGCTGTCTCCTCATTCTCATAAATATTCACTTTTCCCTATATTTTGTCTAGATTACCTTTATGATGTATATTATATTGTAATGTATGTTATTTTGACTTTATATCTATGCGGTATTGTATGTTATTGTATTTTTTTGTTTGTTATGATGAATGAAATAAATTTGACTATCTATCTATCTATCATCATCATCAACAGGTTGAAAAAGACAAATCCATAGTATATTTCCGTACCTGGTGCAAGCTATGGCGTGAGCAATGATCTCTGCAAAGAGAACTTGACGTTGCTCATCCGTCTCTGAACATAACTTAGGATAGAGGGTGTTGAACTTGTCTATGATGGGTGCTAGTACATTCCTCAGAAGAATCTGCTTCTTCTGTTCAATCAATGATACAACAAACAAAACATACAAGAACATTTTTAAAATTGTACTGTTAATGTATTAATATTAATTCTTTCACTCATTCATCAATCCATCCATCCAATTAATTCAATTAATTCAATTAATTGCATGTTCATTCATTCTTATAATACATCTTTATTTGATAGATAATAACCCACAGTGTTATCATTATGCAGATGACCAAATTTCTGTAAATGATTGATCTAAAAAAATATGAAAGATTATAATCAATGAACAGTAGGACTGATTACCAAACAGGGATAACATGAGTTTAAAAGATAATTTCATAGCACATATCTGTTTAGTCTTAAAAATTCAGTGTAATGTTCAAGTCATTCTCTGAGAATTGATTTTCTGTCAATACCAAAACTTTGGATTAACACTCAGATCATAAATAGAAATACCCGCTCAGGAGGTATTTGTTGTGAAAACAAACTTCATTCCTGATACACAAGAATATCTTAAGGCTCATACAGATATAAAGTAGTAAACCAGGGCTTTAAAATAAAAAAAAAAGTATACATAAATGGCAACTAAGCACTGTGTTACACTTATTTACATTTATATTACACTTATCATCACTTTTTAAAATGAGGTTTTATGGTATGCATTTTATGTTGTGCATTTTATGTTGTGAAGTATAATCAAATCTGTCTTAGCAGCCACCTCTCTTTAAAGGCCACCTGTCTATAGTGGTCACATTCATTGTTTCCCTCTAGGAAGAAATATGGCTCGTAGGACCTGTCTAGAAAGGCCAGATAGGTTTGACTGAATCACTTGACTCACCTCTGGTCCAACGGCACTACATGTGATGATAACCCCTGCTACTTCATAGAGGAACAGCTGATCATCTGTAGTCAATAACGGAGGATGACCATTCTCCTGTTATCATCGAGAAAATAAAGAGTGGTAGGTTAGTACAATGATGGTAACACGACAAGCGTTTTAACGGTCACGAATGATTCAAATCAATCGCAACATAAAATCAATCAAACTCTGCGCTAAAGAGATGGGAGTTTAAATTTGCAATTGATCGGAGCATTTGTGATCAATCCAGATCCATTGAAACTCTTTATAAGATCGGGTCCAGAGTTGAAAACAAAACAAAACAAAACAAAACAAAAGAACATCAACAAAATACAGGAGCCATGTTCTGAAAATTAGTTGTCTTTCCTGCTGAACAAAAATTGAAGTTGCACAGAATAAGCAATTACTATACGTGCTTTCTCAGATACCTCTCTTAACCATTACAGCGTCATAAGTGAACAATGCTTAAATCACCCAATGTACTTGATCAGCTGTCATTTTCTGGTAGAAATTTTGGCGAATGACAGGGACAAAGTTATTTTTTGTGAGTTGCTGTTTATCAATAATTAACACAAGCTACTTATAATACATTTTCCATATGCACTACCAGCTCACTCATTTTCCATGTGGTGTTAAATTTGTGACCCTTTTACGAAATGCACAATAAATGAAAATAAAACGTTTTTAACAAAAACGGCTCATACAGTATTTTACTCCAACTTACTGGTAAGACAATGATGAGAAGGTCCTGTATCCTCTTCAGGATCTCTTCTGTGAAGTTACTCAGATGATGCTTGAGTGACTTGATGAAGCGGGTGAAGAGGTACGCTGACCTGCTCCTGACCGTAGGATGACGATGTCTCAGACCACGGTCATCTAGGAAAGTGACCAGGATATCGGGGATGTGCTGGGGTTCGTGGTTGAAGAACCTCTCGTAGCGGACAACCGTCTCATACACCTACATCATAAAAAGAACATTTTAAGATATTGGTTAAGTATGTATGCCATCCAAAATAACAAAATTCAATGCCAGAGAAAACATGCAAGATATATATTTATTAGTACACCATTCTGATGTTCACTCATATAAATGACATGGATTACTTGCTCGCTCTTTGAAAAAGAAGTATAATTGTGATTAATATTTGGAAATAATAACAGAACATGATTTCTCTGAATTATAAACGCTACTAATATGGAGCAATTTGTCCCATGTACTTGCTCTTTGAAAAAGAAAGTGTTATTGCGATTGATATTTCAAAACAGTAATAAACATGATTTCTCTATATTGTAAACACTACTTCTATAAAACACTCTGTCTCACATAATTTGGGGTTTTCAGTATCTTACACCTGGAATGGCAAAAAGAAGTCTGTTACACTTTGTTTTTCTTTTCTCAATGAAGAAGTTCACTTCGGGCAGTTTCTTACTTCTTTGTTTAATAAGTGGCTACATATATTCAAGACAGCACAGTATGTCTGTTAGATCAAGCTTATTCACTCCACTTTAACACTTACTTGTAATGTGACAGCCCAATGTGAATGCCCAACTACTCCTGAAGATACCAACTGAAAGATAGAAAGGAAACGATGTTTACATTAAACAAATCACAGGATAGACTATTTCTATGAACACATCTTTTAAAATTCAATTTCCAAATACTAAAAATATATGTAGAAGCAACTCTGCCATGTTAAATTATAGAGCTAGCTATGAGGATAATAGAATAATCTCTGCTTTACAGGTAATTTTCATAATAGTGTTCAATAAGATGAGAGAATGATGATGTTGCAGAGTGACTTACTCCTTTCACTTTCTCTACCATATTCAATAGTGCAGGGAAACCTGTAAATAATGACTGCTCACATGAGACAGGGGGCCTTTCTATACAGGTTCCTCTAAATCCAGATTCCAGTGATAAACAATTGTTCTCAGGAAGCATAAAATATAATTTTATAGACAAATGGTCTGTATGTACAGGCAGTTCTTGATTTCACTGTGTTCAGTCATCTGATTTCAAATAGTGTGACAACCGAAGGATGGTTGTTTGTTAATGTATTATTGGGTACAGTAATGAATATTTTACACAGATTAGTTATGAGATGCTTGATAACAAGTAAGACGAGGACCTACCATTCTCATCATCTCCTTGATAGGTTCTGTCCTTGCAGAGTCTCCTACAAAATGGTTTCCCTCTTTGGCAGGAATGGCCTCACCTAACAGGTACAGTAATCTCACAGCCAGCTCCACATCGGTGAACTTCTTACTCCTCCAATGCCTAAGATCAAAATAAAAAGGTTGAAAGTATTTGTGTAAGTGATCAATGCAATAGCCTGTATGGCTATTAATAATAATAGGCAATCTTATAGTGCTGTCTATCTAGAAATTCTATTCCGAGGAGCACTAATTATTACCCCAGCTTTCGCCTAGTTGCCATTACAGTGCTCTAGCATTTCAATGAATTAATTCCTGCCAGGTACCCATTTACCTCACCTGGGTCGAGTGTGGCAAATGTAGATTAATGCCTTGCCAAAGGACATTAGTGCCGAATCAGAGATCGAACCACGATCTTTGAATTTCAAGTCAAGTGCTTAAACCGCTGGACTATGACACTTCTATGGGTTGATGAGCAAAGCAAAAGGGCAGATGTGCTATAAACCTATACATCAAAATTCTCAAGATATATTCATGAAGCCATAAACATATTAACAAAACAGAAAAACAACAGCAACAAAAACATCTCTAACATACCCTAACGTCTCCATGACGACAGAATGGACACTAGAAAGTACCATGTCCTGGTTGAGCTGTGCGAGGTTGTCGAAGAGGACTTTGAGCTGACGGCGGTAGTCGATGAACATGATCTCATCTTCTCCCTGGGCGTCAAAGTTGTACGTCTCATCGTAACGGAACTTATCAAGGAGAATGAGAAGGAGTCTCTGTGCATTGGCAATCTGGCTCTCATTCAGAGTACCAATCTGTTTGAAACAAAATAATAATGATAACAATAGTTATGATGATTATGATGATTCTGATGATGATGGTGGTGGTAGTGGAGATGACGGTGATAATGACAGTTAAGTTATATTCCTTGTTCTAACAAAGTTATTGAGGAGGATGAGAAAGAGTCTCAGTGCATTGGCAATCTGGCTCTCATTCAGGGTACCAATCTGTTTGAAACAAAATAATAATGATAACAATAGTTGTGATGATTATGATGATTCTGATGATGATGGTGGTGGTAGTGGAGATGACGGTGATAATGACAGTTAAGTTATATTCCTCGTTCTAACAAAAGTTATCGAGGAGGATGAGAAAGAGTCTCAGTGCATTGGCAATCTGGCTCTCATGCAGGGTACCAATCTGTTTGAAGCAAAATAATAATAACAACAGTTGTGATGATTAAAATGATTCTGATGATGATGGTGGTGGTGGTGGAGATGACGGTGATAATGACAGTTAAGTTATATTCCTCGTTCTAACAAAAGTTATTGAGGAGGATGAGAAAGAGTCTCAGTGCATTGGCAATCTGGCTCTCATTCAGGGTACCAATCTGTTTGGAACAAAATAATAATAACAACAGTTATGATGATTATGATGATTCTGATGATGATGGTGGTTGTAAGATTTAGAAAGTTTTCTGTCATGACGTCGGTTCAGATTAACCATAATTTCATTTGGTCGTAAGAGGGCGTTTGTAGTTGGCCAGCCTAAAAGTCACGAAATTTGAAATGTTTTGTGGACAGTGATTCCATCAGTAATCCCCGACAATCGAGACAAGCCCAATGTTGTAAGTACTATAAAGCTGTTATTTGTATAAATCAATCTTTAATTGTTTGTATGAGGCCAAAAATGGCACAAGATATAAATCTAGTTTTCTGTAATTTTAAGATGAAAAGTACGTTAAAATGTTGTCTGTGCATGTAGCACCACATATAGACAAACGTAGGATAACGTGTGTGAATGCACAATTTGTGCATATATCAGTTTGTGTTGAGGATAATCTAGATTTGTGTGTAATGAGTGATGATAATTGACATGAAACAAGAGTATGAATTGTTTTCCTTGGTTATAAAGAATGTCAAGGGTGTAGAAGCAAATAGGAATTTAGTTCAGGAACCAAGTAAAGAGTGTAAGATAGAGGCAGGAAATAAGGCTGGTCGAGGGTTTATTTGTGTATGACGTTAACCTACAAGATAGAGAGGTATGATTTGTAAGGGTTATATTTGTAAACAAAGGTAGAATTTGAGACAGTTCATTAGAATAAGATAAATGAGGCAGTTATACAGTTTGTGTTTGCACAAGTGAGCTTTACTCACATAGTTTATTCTTGAAGGTTTTCTTTACTCAGTTATGCATATTAAGGTCAATTATGGCAAGCTAGTTGTGCGATACAATAGATGTTTGTTTATTCATGTGAATTTGTACACATGCTTATGATTGCTTGTTTGTTTTATTGATATTACAGATGAACTGCATTTTATGCACGTATCTCAACTTGGATGTCGTCGTCCTTTCTTTAAGCCTACTGTTGGGGTCACTTCAGCAGAATTTAACGTCACACAAAGTTCATAACAGCTTTAGCATTCGTCACCATGAGTCAAGTAGGTGTTGATGATGTCAATCCAGAGGATTCTGCAAGTCAGGTTGGGAAGAGTTCCACCACGTCATCTGGACTTAGGACCAGGGCCAAGAGGGCTGCAATAGCAGCAGAATTAGCAGTTCTCCAGGAAGAACAAGAGATAGAACTCGAAGAAATACGCCTTAAACAAAGGAAGGCTAAGTTACTCTTACGTGCCAAGCTCAGCGCAGCAGAGGCAGAAGAAGACGTGTATGAGCAACACAGGAGTGGCAGTAAGGTGTCGAGTATAGGGAATAGGAGTTCCAGTCAGCAGAATGTCAAGCAGGTGCATGAAAGTGCAGAGCATGCTACGGAACATCATCATCATGTCAGCAATCATGATGTCAAGGAACCTGCGCTCCTACAAGAGACTATTCCTTTTCCAGCTCAGCAAATGGCTTCATCTCCCATTTCAGGTCAAGCTTATCAACCACGAGACGACCGAGAATTTTATCTGCAGACCCAAGTTCAGCAACAACGATGGTTGGAAGCTATCAGTCTGGCTAATGTAGAGATGATGAAGTTTGATGGGAGTCCTTTGCACTTCCATGAATTTATGATGTCGTTCGACAACTTAATTGGTCGATCTTCACTCGATAGTGGGACAAAACTTATGAAGTTATATCATTGCTGTGAAGGAGAAGTTAAGGGCATCATACAGTGCTGTATGGTCATGGAACCACTGTATGGGTACCAACGAGCCAGAGAGCTGTTGGTGGAACGCTTTGGCAGCAAGTACAAGATAGGAGAAGCCTGGATCAAACGTATAACCACTGGTCCAATCTGCCATGCGAATGACCGGAAGGGGCTGCAGAAGTTTGCAGATGAGTTGAAGATCAGCATGGAAACTCTTCGAGCAATGGATCTACTGCAGGAAATTAGTAGCCAGAGAGAGTTGCTGAAGGTGGCTGAGAGACTTCCATATTACCTTAAAGGTAGATGGTTAAAGTTGGTGAGAGACATCAGACAGCAGGAGCGTTCTCCCGATATCTCGGACATGGCAAGGTTTGTCTCCAACGCTGCTGAGGAAGCCAATGATCCTGTCTTTGGAGATCTGACAGCAACAACAAAAAGAGTTGAAACTTCAAACCCAGCTTTCAACAAGAAGAGTACAAGAAGTAACTACATGTACGCTACAGAGGTAACAGAAGTAGCAGTCAACCTGAAGTGCCTGAAGTGTAGGCAAGAACATTCCTTGTTTGGGTGCGACAGTTTTAAATCCATGGCACCCGAGATGAGATTTCAGTTTGCTCAGGACAACAGACTGTGTTTCAACTGCCTGCAATCTGGCCACACCAGTAGGTTTTGCAGATTGAATAGAAGATGCTCAGTACAAGGATGCCAGAGAAAACACACAAAATTTCTCCATTTTGCACAGGATGCATCTTCATCTGCAGGAAGGATGACAACGACACAGGCTCCAGTTGAAACCCAGAACAACGAAGTCCATCAAGTCCAGAATGGGTTTGTTAAGAAGTGTGTCACAGGGGCCGGAAGGTGTGTGCTTCCCATTGTTCCAGTGAGGGTTAGAGCTCAAGGAGAGAATGTATTTGTGAATACATATGCACTGTTGGATTCTGGTTCAACCAGTACATTTTGTACAGCCACTTTGGCCAGAGAACTCAATGCTACTGGAAGGAAGCAAAGTTTAAGCCTGACAACACTGGAGAAGCGTAATAGCCCCATAGAGACCTCAGTGATTAGTCTGATTGCAGACACGGGACCAGATACAGACTGTGTGAAGCTACCCTGTGTGTATACCAGAGACGCCATTAATATCAGAGACACACACATTGCCAATGTGGATGACATTTCAGGATATCATCACTTAGAAGGAATCAACCTCCCGATCATTGAACGACATGAAGTTGGACTGTTGATAGGGCAGGATTCACCTGAAGCCTTGATACCTATCGAGGTGAGACGAGGACAGCATGGCCCTTATGCTGTTAGGACCAAATTGGGTTGGTCAGTGAGTGGACCTGTAGGTTCCAGTTCAGATGGTGTACCCAAAGCTACATCTAGCTTCATTGACAGTAATGATAGACTGGAGGAACAAGTCAGCCAATTCTGGAAGATCGAAGCTACAGATGTGCTTAAGAAAGACAAGGCAATGTCAGTCAATGACAAGAAGGTAATGGAAATATGGGAGAGGGACATCCAGCGGGAAGGTGCACATTTCCAACTACCGGTGCCCTTCAGAAGGAGACCACCTAACTTGCCTGATAACAAGTGGAGTGCAGAACAGCGTTTGAAATCGTTGGCAAGGAGATTGCAAAGAGATCAAGCAATGTATGTGAAATACAAACAGGGCATAGAGGATCTCCTCAGGAAAGGCTATGCAGAGGAAGTTAGTGAGGAGACTAGGCAACCCAAGGACACCCCTGTTTGGTATTTGCCCCACCATCCAGTCTTGAATCCCCAAAAACCAGACAAGATGCGAATCGTGTTCGATTGTGCGGCCAAGCACCAAGGGGTATCTTTGAATGATGCAGTGTTACAGGGGCCGGACCTTATCAACAATTTGATGGGAGTTTTGCTTAGATTCCGCCAGCAACCAGTAGCACTCATGTCAGATATAGAGGCAATGTTCCACCAAGTGAGGGTACCTCCAGAAGATCGAGACGTGTTGAGATTCTTGTGGTGGAAGGACGGAGACTTCAACAAGGAACCGCTGGTCTACCGGATGTGCGTCCACCTCTTCGGAGGTACGTGGAGCCCAAGTGTGTGCAGCCATGCACTTCGTCAGACAGCAAGAAACGGTGATGGTAATGGTAAAGTGGAAGCATCTAAGGCCATTCTCGAGAACTTCTATGTGGACGACTGCCTGGTGTCAGTTGAGAATGAAGAAACAGCGGTGAAACTTGCTGCGGACTTGATGGTCTTGCTCAGTGAAGGAGGCTTCAGATTAACCAAATGGGTCAGTAACAACCCATTTGTCCTGCAATCCATACCAGAAGAAGAGAGAGCTAAAGATGTGAGGGGTCTGGATCTCAATCATGATGCTCTTCCAGTCGAGAGAGCACTTGGAATCAGCTGGGATGTAGAAACTGATTGTTTGCTGTACAAATTTAGACCCAAGGACAAACCCCAAACCAGGAGGGGTATCTTGAGTGTTGTATCTTCCATCTACGACCCTCTCGGTTACGCCAGTCCTTTCATCCTAAAGGCTAAGATGATCTTGCAGGAACTAACCAGACTTAAACTTGCATGGGATGAGGAGATTCCAAGCAAGGAAATAGAGAGATGGAATGAATGGTTACAGGAACTACCCAAGATGACTGAATTCCAGGTCAACAGATGCATCAAACCACATGACTTTGGCAAGGTAGCAGAGTATAAGCTACATCACTTTGC